GTCTATTGGCATGATTCCGTCCACGGGGTCGACGACTCGCCAACAAAGAGGCGACATTTTCCCATTCCTGGTTATTCGGCGCAGATAATTCTGTTTAGAGTCAATTAACACAAATGCTTTCAGACATTTATGCGGCTGTAAATCGTGTTTCGGCCTCGAAAGGTCGTTTTCGATATTCTCAGGTAATCAACAAGCGGCAGTTGGTTCGGAAACCGGTAGTGACGGGTTCTAGTCCACTGGAGCTATCCTTCACACTCAGCCTATTATTTTTGTTGATAAAGCATTCGAATAAATTCACTGACCTTTTCGAGAAAAAATTGTTTTTGTAGCATTTCAGGTTTATTCGGGTCAACAGCTCCATAATTGAATTATCTAGCATGGCATAATGGTTTAGCATAATTTTTGGAGCTACTGGCGCCGACGTGGGAGTGACCAGACTAATAAATATTCACGATTTATTCGAGGTTCGGGGATTCGTTCGTTTTTGGGAAATCAGAATGAGTTGAATGAGGTGAGGGAATTCTGATTGGGGTTGAGGTCTTGATGGATATATTGATTTCTATACTTTTTTCAAAATTTAGTAGGGGATATGGTGCAACGGATTTATTACACGGAGAGAAATGTTAATAAAAAATTATGGAAGTCACAATTCGCTCACCGATTACGGAATCGACACAGAAAATTTAAGTGACGCTCTCGTAATTTTTCACAGATTTCGATAAAAATTATGGAACGCTCTGGAACAATTCCGTAAAATTTCCTATAACCACATTTCGCTCCGGAATTACGAAAAGATACGTAATTTTTATTGAATATTTCTCTCCGTGTAATCAAGAACTATTGATGAAATTTCTACAAGAATTCCTCGACATGAATTTTTTGTCTTTTTTTTCACCCCATTTTTCTTATCTTTTTCGTTAAAAAATTGATCAAAGACACTTGGAAAATTGGAGCCGAGGAATTTCTACAGCCAAAAATTGAAAGAAAATTCAATACAAATCCAATCAAATTTTTTAGCGAATCCGCTAGATTCGTCAAATTATTTTAATGAAATATTCACTATTTATTCGAGGTTTTCGGGTATTCATTCGTTTTAGGAAAGCAGAATGAATTAAGGTGAGAGAATTTCGATTGGGGTTTTTTCAATATCTAGTCGGTGATTTGGTGCAGCGGATTTATCAATCAAGTTTAAAAAAATTTTATAGAAAAATTCAGCGAAGTTCTATTGATTTTCGATCCATTCTATTGAAGAATGCCGCAGCTGTACTGTCTATTGTCCTTATAGAAAATGTTCAATAGAAACTATTTTATAGGAAAAATCTGTAGAATTTCATCTATAGAATTTTTTCTATTGGAGGATTTTCTATAGAAATTCCTTGACATGAATTTTACATATTTTTTCCACTCCATTTTCTTATCTTTTCATTAAAAAATGGGTGAAAACCGCTTGGGAAATTTTAACCGCGGAATTTCTGTAGAAAATATCTCAATAGAATTTGTCACAAACTAATAGAAATTCAATAGATTTTTTTAGCAAATCCGAGCGGTTTTTCAACGATTTTTTTCGGTTCTGCGCTATTCCCCGAAAACCGATGCGTTTTAAAGTGAAATTACGTTATCCCTAATCCTGTTTTGCCACTTCAGTGCTGCATTAATCCCCAAAAAATGTAAATATCTTATAACTGATCATCTCCAGCGCATCAATAAATTGCCAAAAAACCGAAATACATCAGTCTCCACCCGGAATTTCGCTGAATATTTAAAGACTTTTATTAGGAACACGGTGTCGCGTCTGCCTGGAATGCGTGGAACTCGATAAAACTATTGACGTCAGTAGGACCCACCGGGCCCCACGCTATTATAATCTCTCAGAAGATCCCCGAATTGGCGCCATTGTGGTAACTGGAGATGTTGACGCCTCCGGACACGAATTCCACCTGAACCCGTCTACTCGTTTTATTTGAAATATGTCTCGAGTCGGGACGAAGGACGATAGAATGTTACATCACGTGCGGAAAAACAAAGTTTCCGTATCTCGTGAATAATTTCCGAATCGAGAGAGATGTTACGCTTGTGATGGACGATATTATCGGGGGGGGATTATTCGTGCGACCTTGGGATCGTCGACGAGGGACATCAATTCATCAGAATGTGGGTGGCTGTCGACGTTTTGAGTTTCGGAGACTCACATTTTACCGTAAAAACCCTGTTTTGCCTTTGATCGAAGATAAATCATGATAGAATTTCATATTGCCATCTATTTTCGATTTAAAACTAGCGTTATTTTTCAAATTTCAGGGAATTAAATTTTTTCGACAAAAATCGAGAAAAAAAAAGCAATGAGACCAGTGGCTGTGACAGTTGGCCTAGGTCTGACGAAAGAAATAAAAACTTTCACTCGGACCAATAGGGCGTGCATTGAATAAATCCCCAAGTGGAATTGGCAACCAAGCTTACATCGAAGAGATTACGTCAGGTGCGCAATAATCATGAGGGAAGCCATGTGTGGTTACATGGTCCTGACGGTTACAAGACCCTTGAAGACTTAAGGACGTTTTTAGGTGACGGTCGAACGGTATTGAAGTTTAAATGGCCCTTAAGGACGTTTTTAATTGACGATCTTGAGGGTGAAATGACTCTTACGAATGTCTAGAGTCAAAGGTTAAATGGTTTTGAGGGTCAAATGGCCCTTAAGAATGTTCAGAGTCAAGCGTTAAATAGCTTCGAGGGTCAAATGACCTTTAAGGACGTTTTTAGATGGCGGTCGAACGGTATTGAAGATCAAATGACCCTTAAGAATGTTCAGAGTCAACGATTAACGGGTTTCACGGGTTAAATGACCCTTAAGGGTCTTTTAGTTGACGGTCTGGCGGTCTTGAGGGTTAAATGACCTTTAAGGACGTTTTTAGGTGACGGTCGAACGGTCTTGAAGGTCAAATGGCCCTTAAGGACGTTTTTAATTGACGGTCTTGAGGGTCAAATGACTCTTTCGATTGTCTAGAGTCAAAGGTTAAATGGTTTTGAGGGTCAAATGGCCCTTAAGAATGTTCAGAGTCAAGCGTTAAATAGCTTCGAGGGTCAAATGACCTTTAAGGACCTTTTTAGATGGCGGTCGAACGGTATTCCGGTCAAATGACCCTTAAGAATGTTCAGAGTCAACGATTAAAGGGTTTCACGGGTTAAATGACCCTTAAGGGCCTTTTAGTTGACGGTCTGGGGGTCTTGAGGGTTAAATGACCTTTAAGGACGTTTTTAGCTGACGGTCGAACGGCCTTGAAGGTCAAATGACCCTTAAGGACCTTTTAGTTGATGGTCAGACGGTCTTGAGGGTCAAATGGCCCTTAAGGAGGTTTTTAGGTGATGCTCAAACGATACTGAGGGTCAAATGACCCTTAAAAAAGTTTACAATGAACAGTGAAATGCTTTCAAGGGTCAAAATCAGAAATCAGATTACAACTATTATAATAAGATATTCATCTCAACGAAATTCCTGACAATGCCTTGCAACGTTAATACTACTATGTCAATCATTATTATGTTTTTTTTATTCCGTTATCGTTAAGCCCGCGCTGACAATTTTAATCCCACCGAAATGAATAATAATTGATTGAAAGTGTCTAGAGTACTGGCGCCAATCCATCCGGATAGTCCCCTAACCGGAGAGTTATAGCGAAATGTATCGTCATTCAGAAAACACGTAAATATTGATTAAAAAGTTGTGGTAAAAATCAATTTTATCACCAATTATCGAAAATTAATGATTATGATGATGATCTGTAGTAAAATTTTATGAATGTTCCGAGTGTTTTCATGGGAACGATGTTTACGGAAATTCAGTCTAAGGTATTGTACAGAAATTTAAATTTCCTGTAATAATTCGGGATTTGAATAAATTTTTTAATCATTTTTAAAAATAATTTTTCAAATTGACAACACATCATTTAATTAAAACCTCATTTTTAATCTGACTCGGTCATTAAAAAAATTGGATTGATAAAAGCTGCGGAATATTTCTATTTTTATTGAATAAATCCTATAATAAATCGGGATGTGAATAATTTTTTAAACAATTTTTTCCAATAATAATTTTTCGAATTAACAACACATAGTTTAATTAAAACCTTATCATTTGTCAATCTGACTCGATCATTAAAACAATTGGATCTCCAAAAGCTGCGGAATTTTTCAATTTTTATTGAATAAATGAATAAAAAATTACAGTGAATTCTCCCATAAAATGAAGATAACAAAATTTTTGCGATTCAGTAAACCCATCCCCCCCCGATTTGAATTAACTCAAACCGGATTGACATAACTGGCGAATAAATTCCCAGCGCAAACGGAAAATCCACGCGACACTAATGGAATTTGACGGTACATCACTAAAATGATTAGAATTTCTGTTAGACGCCAGACGTCTGGCGACGTATCCGCGGGACCAAGTGCGGTCGTGAATACTGTTTTAGAAAAAATCTGGTATGTCATAAAAATCCCGGCGTGAGAACATAAAAATGGAAAGAATGAAACTCGTTCGATTAATCAATCGAGGAAATTCCAAAAAGCGTTGCCCACATACCTCCGGGGAATACTGAGATGTTTAGCGTATCAGAGGCTGCGGTATTATTTATACGAAGGCTGTATGATAATCCTACGGTCTGATGAAAGTTGAAAATAACACTCGGGATGCAAATCGAGGAATTTCTGATGGGATGAATGCACTGGAGAAATGGTAAAATGTGTCAATCTTGAAATAGCCCCAAGATATTTTCGAGTGTTGGGTCTGCGATAAACTGCCTAAACAATTCTTTTTGACATACTGCACTGGATTTATTTTGAAATTCTATTAAAAATTCTATTCGTTTTTGCCCGATTCTATTAGGGAATTCCCCAATAAAACGGGTTAGTTTAAATATGTAGTAAAAAATAAATTATAATAATATTAATAGTGATAATATTAATAAATTACTAGTGTAAAATAACAAGTAAAAAAATCTCTTACGTTTTCTTGTCTTTTCTCAATCGATTTTTTTATTATCACAAAATAACATGTACAAGGACGATTATAAACACTTCTGCGGATGAACAAGCCATTAAACATCAATAATCTCTGTTAAATTTAAAAAATTTTCAATTAATAATTTTTTTTCATCGCCGTGGAAGAAATAGAGTTCATTGATTTTATTTGAACAGTGGTAATTGACATTATTAAGCAGCCTGTACATTGTTCGTCGTTCTCGATCATGATTTTAGTGGCGATTGTACGCGTGATGTGCCTGGTGTGCTGCAAGAATAATCGAAATCAAAATTAATTGGAATATCTTAATTTCTCCTGAAAATTGTATTAATTTTTTTCTGCCGATTCTTTTCTTTTTAACGTGAATACGTCTGTTTTCACTATGGAAGAGGGCATTTAGGGGGAAAAGTCCTTATGGCTCCTAATCGGCAGTGGCGCCATCTGTCGGAATTCTAGAAAAATCCATAATTTTCTAGAAAATTCCAGATTTTTCTAGCAAATTTCAGATTTTGCTGGAAAAGTTCAGATTTTTCTAGAAAATTCTCCATTTTTTTTATAGAAAATTTCGAATAGAAAATATGTCATAGAAAAAATCACTAGAATTTCATCTTTTGAAATTCGCAGATAAGTTGCGGAATTTTTAAACAGAACCAGCTAATACCTAATAGAAAGTTTGCTACGTTTTTTATGTTTTTTTTGTACGCGAAATACTCACGCTTGTAGAACTGGGCAGCAAAATTGACGTCTGGCAGGAGATCATGAACTTTTTGGAGTATTTTTGACTCTGGGGCTAGTGATGCATCGACATTCCAAATCTGAGAAGATTTAATGTGTGGAACTGATTAATTAATGGGTACAACTCAATACCATCTCGATTTCTCCAGTAATTTATGATGGTTGAATGTGAATAGAGGAATTGAGCTGCTCTGTAATATTCAGGGAGTAGTGGCATGCAATATTAGTTTAGAATTTTCAAAACGTTCTTAATTTCTGTGTTTCGAAGCCTTCTCTTCCACATGAGAACCAACTGACATTTGTTTCGGGAAGCCTCATTTCTCGCTTATTTATTTTAAATCTTGATCATTAATTCCATTTGTATCCAAAAATAACAGACTGCTATTTTGGAAATACACACCTGTATCAAATCATCCCTATCTCTGATGGAGACTGTGACCCCACAGACCTCATCTCCATCAGCCACGCAGTCATCGAATTGCTCCCCAATTGCGGCAACCACTACTTCCTTCCACACTCTTTCCTGCAGAATTTAAGGATTAGATAAAAAAAAAGAAAGCATTAAATTCACCGAAATTATCGTACGAATATTTCCGAATCAATTGGATTGGAAATTTCCTACGAGAGAGTCTTGTAAGATTCTTTTTCTAAACCTCTCTCGTCTCCAGACATTCACAAAAAAGAATACTCACCGTATCACTCTTACGACACTTGAGCCTCCAAGTCCCACCCTTTTGATTAGCACTCTCCTCCCAGAGCGGCGGTCTCCCATCCCTCATCAAATGATAACTGTATTTAATCTAAAAAAAATTAAAATTCATTCGTCATTACACGCACGACAAAATTAGAAAATTATGTAGAAGGATTCCCAAAGAAAAAATTGCATAAAATGATTAAATTGGTTGTTCTCACTAAAATAGTTTATTTGAACATTTTAGTTGAGAAAAAACTTTTAAAATACCCTTAAAAACTCTGAGAATATTTACATTTATTTATAAATAGTTTGTTATTTATGAATAAATGTAAATATTCTCTGATTCACATTTATTTATAAATAACGAACTATTTACAAATAAAAAATAATGATCCTTTTTTATACAGAAAAAAATCATGAATTGTTTTAACATATAGTGAGAGAATTTCAACAACGATAACAAGATTTTAGATATTCACCTGAATTTCACTAGCCTTCGGAATGTTATTGTAAACCGACCAGAACCCCAATATCGTTTCAACAGTGTAAATTTCCTTGAGATTGTCCTTGTACTCTGCCATAGTGGTGCCAGGAATAGCTCTTCATTGACAACAACAATCACTTAGTCGATGAAAAAATAATAATCGAAGTGCTCTTACTTGTCCAGCCAGAAGGTCCATGCTGACTGCAGGGGTTTGTCCTCACTCTCCAGCCCCTCGCCGGCATTCACCGGAGCTCCTGACACACTGACAGGTGATCCATCAACTGTTTTGGCCCCCAACCCAGCCATTATTCGGTATTAACCCCGAGTACCAGCGTATTCACTCACTCGAGGCTTTTTATCTCGAGATGATCATGTGACGAAGGTCGACAACAAGAAATTCAGGGACTACGTCTATTTGTTGTATCGAAGTCGGATGGAAAAACAGTAGAAATGGCGACTGCTAGCAATTAAAGATGAATAATAATGGGGGATTGATCTGATGAAGACATTTCAGAGGGTTCTGATGGAGAGAGATGATGATGGGAATGTGAAATTTTGGGAAGTGATGGATTAGGAATTGTTTATTTGTGATGATGATGATGATGGAATGGATGGATAGTGAGAAATGGAGTTTGAGCTTTTGCAAAATGTGAGGATGGATGGGAAGAGGCACAGGGCGCCATCCGGCGAGTCGCGTCTGAAGAAAATTCTGTTGAAGTTTTTATTAAAAATTATCCATTAGTTTTGGGAAAATTCTATTGAAAAAAAAATTCAACAGAAATGTTCAATGCAAAATATTTTATCTCAACTGAATTGTTTTTCCAACCGCTTGTATTCATATTGTATTCAATTTCTCCTGCTATTCCAGATTTTTGCCATTATTATTCTTAACATTAATTTCACCGATGAAGAATTGAAAATGCCGCGTGTTTTTTTTTGTGAATAACTTCGTGTCACATATTGACCAATCAGAATTAAGGATTAGCGGTCAGGCACTTTCGAGATATTTTGATATAAAACAACTTCACGTTTCTTTCATCTTTAGTAAATAGGATAAATAGGAAAATCTCTTCGTTTTTATTTTCTGTTTTACCACTTGAGCACTCAATTCTCAAAATCGCCAGATAAAACAGGCTAGACCTGATCATATGGGCGTACGTAGTCAACAAAAATATAAACACAACCAACACTTCCCCAAATGCACAGACACAAAGAACAACTTTCAGTTGGAGTTGATTCATCGTAAGTGGAACACGGGAATGATATTGAAACTCGTTAGAATTTCGTCGAATAAACCGAGTGCCAATTGACCGTGAGGAAATAAGGGAATATACAATGCTGGTGTGAACAAAGCATCCGATGGAGAATTATCACTCCATTATATAATGAGAGGATCAATTTGTCAATATTCCAATATTGTGTCAGAAAATATTTTTACATTGTCAGCATATATTTGTGAACTACGCGTGAGTATTTTTCATCGCCCAATTCTTTTGTCTGTTCATCTCATAATTACATGGCACACCCAGAAATAATTCTATAGACAGGTTCTATAGGGGTTTTTCGTGGAAAATGGACTTGTCTAGGGATGACGCCTGTTAAAAAATCATTTTTCATGACGAAATAGTCTAGGAATTTCAGAGGAATATTTGGGTGAATTTCTAGCCTCTACAAGCGATGATTTTGTGAATTTTCAGAGGAATTTTCAGGAATTTGATTGTTGCTTAGGATATTTTTACAGGCGATATATGAAAATCTGTAAATATCTAGAATTTATAGATTAGTCCCTGTAAAATAATCGGAGCATTAGCGGAAATATTTCCTGTAGAAGCTCAAAATCTCCAGAAACCTCCTGAGAATTTCTATAATTGTAATAAGAAAAAAAGAAAAAAAATTATGACTATGAATTTTCTATAGAAAAAAATAGATTTCAGTACAGAATCTGGTGAGATTGAATTTCTGTAGTCCATCATCTTGATACACTATAAAACAAAATAAAAAATATCAGAGATTTATTTTTTTCATTAAAAAAAATTGTTAAAAATAAAAAAATCACCTGAAAAATAGAAGACATTTCCAATCCCCCATCGCTCCTAAACCTTTCACCCTTCATCGAGACAAAAAAAAACGTGTCTACTATTTTCCCCTCAATTTTCATCCCCAAATATCAATTCAATAACTCTATTTCGCGAGAAAGAACAATTAAACAAAAAAACCCATGGAATTCTCATTCCAGCCATAATTCGCACAATGTCAGTCCCAAAAATAGGCATGCCAAGCATGCAGGAGATCCTGGAGCTGGCTGGTCTCCTGCGAAAGAACGGAGACCAAGTCCTCAACGGCACCAGCAAGCTCTCCCTCTCCACAAAGCTCCTCCACAACCTGAACGACGCCTTCTCCCTGATCGTGGACGACTCGAAGGACTTGGAGAGTTCCTTCCAGGTCTGCAACAGCTCGGAGATAGAAGTCTTCAGAGACCTGAAGTTCCTCCACGACTTTGTTCAGAAGACGATCTCCCTGAAGGTCTCCCAGACGCCCATCGACCCCAAGACCTCCATAGACATCACAAAATTCCGTCACTTGAAGTACCTGGAGCTCCAGAAGGTCTGCATAGACCTGGTGACTGGTATCCAAGGGGTGCGAGGCCAGCTGGAGTCAATCTCCTGCACAGGGGGAGGTGGAGTTGGCTCGATAGGTCGTCTCCTGACAGCTTGTGGTGGCGACGCAGGTGTTGGCTTCGTCTGGGCCTCCCTGAAGCGCCTCTCGCTGCCCTACAACGGCCTCGGGAGGCTCGACAAGTCCCTGGAGCTGGCGCCCTGGCTGCAGACCCTCGACCTGAGCCACAATTTCATATCAACAGCCGGGGAAATCGACTGCCTCCCCAGTCTCAAACACGTGAACTTCGGTTACAACAAATTGGAGAATGTCCCCAGGTTCAATCGAGGGACTTATCGAACCCTCCAGACCCTCGTCCTCAAGAACAACTACGTGGAAACGTTGAGTGGCCTCCAGGGGCTCGACTGCTTGGCCGAGCTGGACCTGTCCTTCAACTGTCTCGCTGATCACTCGGTCCTCTGGCCCCTGGAGACGATGACTGCTCTGCTGTGGGTGACACTGGAGGGCAATCCTCTGTCCTATCACCTTCGCCACAGGACCCTGACAATCAAACATCTCAACTCGTCGTTAGCTGAAAGCAAGTTCGTTCTGGATCATTCACCCCTGTCGAAGTCTGAGAAGCTTCTGTTGTCTGAGAACAGGCTCTTCACGATGAGGTCTGTCCCCTCGCCCTGTAAAGAAGATCTGTCGAACTCTTTTTGTTGCTCAGTCAACTCCGATTCAAACACCTCTGAGATCATCACCTCCCAGATGACGGATTCCTTGAACAGCATGGAGAGGTCCTTCGTCAAGAGGAGGAGGCAGAATGTCATGGAGGCTGTTATCGCTGATGATGAGAAGGTCGAGGAGAGCTTGAGTGAGAGTGCCAGGGAGAGGTCGTACCTCGAGACGTCGATGGAGCACCTGGAGACGAAGAAGAAGATTCTGGCGTTGAGGGAGAAGTTCGGGGGGGAAAGGTGGCTGAGCAGTGATGCGGGGAGTTTTGTTCAGGATATCATGGGGATCGAGAGGAATATTCTGGCGTCGACACCTTCCATTGACAGCCCTGTCTCTGCTGCAATTGGGGATTCAGCAGCTGGGGATCATCGAATCATTGAGGATATTGGAGAAAATCCTGGGGAAGGGACTGAGGAAAATGAAGAGTCCAGTGAGGAAGTTGGGGGGAGAGTCGAGGGGGGGAGGATAGAGTCTTATGACCCTGAGGAGGAGAAGGGACAGCTCTTCCTGGTCCAGAAGAAGAGGGAGAATGAGGAGCTGGAGGAGTTGTTCCTCGTTATCACTGCTGAGGACGTCAAGGAGAGGGACTCCATCACTGGGAGGATCAAGTACAGGTGGTCCACAGAGACGGTTTTGTCTTGTGTCATGGGAAGGGGAGAGACTCCCACCATTGATTTTATCTTTGATACTACCAGGAGGGATCGACAGACCAGAACTTATCTCGTGGAGGCTGACGACGCTGGGAAAATTGTGAAGACTGTTTGTGAGTTCATTAAGGCGAGACCCATTTTACTGAAGGTCTTCAAGTGCATGAAGTGCTCGACACATTTCTCACAGGATCCAGATTGCTTCCTGGGGGTGTCAACTGTTCCTGTGGCGAGTGAGTAAAATTTTGAGAAGATAATTTTTTTTTTATGATTCTGGGAATTTCTCTGGGGAAGAGAGTTGGGGAGAAATTATTTTTTATTTGCAAATTGAGTGCATCAAATTTTGACGACGAAAATTTACTCATTGTTCTGCGAATGTCGCAGGGAGGAAGGGGTTTAGCAGAAAATGTCGTAAGATATTTTTTGTAGAGAATTTTATGGGGTAGGTAAAATATTTTTAGGAATTTGTCTCTAAATCAACTGGTTAACGAGATATTTACGGAATAAACTGCACAAAATGACAAAGGCCTAAAAATTTCCAAAATAATTTCGTCAGTTTTGGTGAATTTTAATCCATTCTTTGCTATTTCATCTTCAAAATGATGTTCTTCAGGTATGAAGCCCCCCACGTGTCCCTCGTGCAAGAGCACTCTAGTAATCCAAACCGACGAGCTATTGACATCAGACGGAGAGAATGTAAAGGACTTAGACGAGATTAAACCAGACAATCAAAAGTCCAATCGCGACAGGTCTGAAGTGACGAGAGACACCGATGAGAGTCAGTCAGCTAATCTGAAACACTCCGCCTCGCACTCGAGTATCGGTGAGTATCAGATAAAGCAGTTGCATGAGACTGTTTTCCTAGAAGAATGACGATAAAAATCACATTACTGCATTGATCAGTGCAGCTGCTTTCTCTTTTTTTCTTATTTGCACAGATGATATGCGAAACACTGATAGAATTTAAATTTATTACTTCTAGTTTGGTTTGTCATCTCCATCAATTTATTGTCAGTGAATGAAATAGTCATTTAAGAGATTTAATTAATTTATTAATATATTAATCATTAATGTATTAATCGCACATGTTTTTTTTTGAATGCATCGATTTTTATTTTTCTGTAAAATTTCTTACGTATAAATTTGTTTCTTCTCTTTTTTCCTACAAAAAATCACAGCAGAATAAATTATGCATAAAAGTCGGCATTTATGACATTTTTATATCTTTCAATGGAAATTCTAAAAAACACTAATAGAATTGGAATGGAACTTCCTAGCGAAACTCCTAGATTTTCCATTAATTTATTTTTATGCGTGCTGTTTTTTTATATTTATCAACTTATTAATGGCGTTTTGTTCGATTTATTGAATTGGGAATTATATAACATACTAATCCCCCGGTGCAGGTGGAACAGAGGGTGCTATGTCCACTTCTATGGTGTACTCCGACTCTCAAGCCCAAGCCCAAGTCAGCTGTAAGCTTTCAGTCAAAAGTAATTTCACTCTTACAGCACTGTTCATACTCTAAATCGTCAATTATTCACTAATTATTTTACGTAAAAAAATAACAGATCACGGAATCAATAGACTTCTGCATTTAACATACGGACAAATTTCACTGAAAAATCTGGCGAATTCGCTAGAAAATTCTATTGGATTTCTATTGAGATAAAATATCTCAACTTTCTCAACTAGAAAGTTGAGATATTTTCTATGGAAAATGTCTCAATAGAAAAAGTCATATAGAAAAATGAAATTCTACTGATTTTTTCTATAAAACAGTTTCAAAATAATGATTAAAAAAATAACTTGGCATTTTTTATTTAAAAAATGCGTTGTAAAACTTTGAAATTTTTCAATGGGAATTTAATAGAATTTTCTAACGAATTCTCTAGGCTTTTATTTTGAATTGTCATATCATCCACATCACAACGAAACAATCAACATCAGTATCTCAGTGATAGCTGGATATTTATGATTATTACTGATTTTATTTCTGATTGATTTTAGGTTCAGCTACGAGCCTGGAGGAGTCGAGAGAGTCGACCCCTTCTGCAAGCACTGTCGCAAAGAAGTACGAGAGTGATATTGAGGTTCTCAGTAATCCGAGTCAAAGTAGCATTGAGGTGTTGGATGATGGCACCAGGTGAGCGTGAAGAATTTTAAAAAATCCAATAATTTTTTAGATGAAAGTTTCTCAAAATGAGAAATTTTAATGCGGATTATTTAGCAAATATCGCGAGAAGGAAGAGGTTTAGAGCAAAATGTCATAAAACATTTTTTATGGAGAATTTCACAAGCTGTGAAAATGTATTTCTGACATTTTCCTCTAAACCTGAAGGTTTAGGAGATATTAACGAAATACTCTGCATAAAACTTTGAAAAATGAGAAAAAGTGGACTGAGTTCACTGAAATTGACTCTACGAATGATTCAACAGTTTCTTCATTTCAAAACTCAGGTCAACATCGACACCGAGTAGGAAAAGATCCTCAGAGGAGCGGAGAATAGCAGTTGCCCCTACCTTATTAACAATTCCAGACACCACTCCTGTTATGGCGGGTCTAACCGAAAGTAGTTCATCAGGTTCGATCGGAATAATTCAATCACTCTCATTAATAAATCATTAATCACTTCTCATTAGAATTGTCGTGACAATTGGTTGATAATTTCTTCAGGTTCTTTGACTGACAGCATCTGTACTGCGTACGAGAACAGGAATCTCCAGGTCTCCATAGTCTCTGGACAATCTCACAATAACAGAAGTGTGTCTGAGAGTGATAATACATTAGTTGGGAGTGACATCGAGAATATCAACACTCCTGTGTCTAATTTGACGTCAATGCTCGGAGGTAATTATTTTCTATAGACATTTTGAATTATTTCTTTAGTTAAATTAGCGAAAAATAGAGAATTCCATTAATAACTTCATTTTAAATTGAATTTAAATTCCTGAAATTAATTGTTGTTCACTTACTACCCCTAAATTCCCCCAGTTTGATCACTGAAATTAATTCTCTTAAAATCAATGGAAGGTCTCCTGCAGAGCATGAAGATAGGAACGAACCGAGGCTCCCCCTTAAAATCAGACGACGGTCCCGACTTCTCCTCGACGAGCGACATTCAGTACTCGTACACAGACTTCAAGAGTCTGGACCACAGGATCAAGCTGCACCTGATCCTCAACGTTTTCGAGCAGGAGAACGAGGAGCTCGTGTTGCTCCTGAGGTCTGACATACTGATCCGCACGCAAGTGCGTCCCTTCCCAGGGTGCCTGGTCCTCACCACCTCCAAGATATACATCCTGAGGATAACAGGGCCAGAGGGTGAGGACCCCCAACGTTGGCTGCAGAAGGAGATGAGCTGGACGATGGACAGATTGAGGACGTTCTCTCCCCTGCCCTTCAAGCAGGGGCTGGTGGTGGAACTGCAGCAGCCAAATAAGATCGGAGAGGAGCCCTCTAGCCTCACCCTCTTGTGTATCCTCCAGGACTTCCAGAGGACCTCGAACCTACTTCTCTATCTGACGGAATTGTCACTGCCTCCCAGCTGCGAACTGGAGTTTTTGGTCCCTGAGCAGTGCACTGGGGCCATTCACAGTCTCATGGCCTCGTCGAAGTTCAAGAGGGCTGGGGACGCTGTCAGGATCCTTGCTCTGTTCTCGTCAGCTGCTTTGCAACTGGAGAACCAAGAGGTCAAGCCCATCAAGATTGGAGGACTGGTCGTTACGACTTCATCGCTGATCCTGACTGACGATCATGTGCACTGGCTGCTGCCTGATTCCGTGGAGACACCTGTCAAACTCACTGAACAGGGGATCAGTAATTTGATTGAAGTGGTGAGTTGATTGTGGATTTGGAGATTTTCATTTTTAGATTTAAAAGGGGAAATTGTAGGAGAAACATTTTTTCAAATTCAAATGCAGTAATGTTTTCCTCGAGGAAAGTCTCTTCAAATTTAACATCATCACAATAATTTCAGTTTCGTACAACTTTATTTTCATTTTAATTTCCCTTTTGTGCTTTAAAATGAGATAAAATCAGTTGAATTCACATGATATTAATTTCTAAAATGCTCTTTTTTCAGATTTTCAATGAGGAAACGTTGGCCCTGAGTTTCCTCGACGAAGTGGCTGGTGTCGAGGAGCTGTGGACCCTGAAATTCGTCTCCCCAGGTGCAGCAGAGGCTGTGATAAACGCAATCCAGCCCCCCTGGGAGGAGCTCTTCTCAGTTCCCCTTCAAATAACAACAAACTCAACGGAGCATGACGTTGACGAAAAACCCTAGTAAATTTCCCTTCAAATCGTCTACTGCATAATTTATTCAGAATAATATATTTACCGATAACTGAATTGTCAGTCACGGACTAACATGACGTGAGTGTTTTTTTACAGCAAACTTGTCGATTTTTTTTTTTACTCGTGTGTTTGAAGAATCAATTTTTCGATTAGATGATTAATTACGATTGTGTGTGAGGAGCAAGTACGACTCATTTGCATCTGTGATATGTATATTAATCATTGCAATGGTTATTATAAATTGTATATAAAAGATGAATACAAATGTTTGCAATATTATGATGAGTGTTGCCATTATTTTATGCATTTTATTGGACTCTATTGATGAATTCCACAAATTTACAGCTTTTTCTATAGAAAATGTAAAATAGAAATTATTTTATAGAAAAAAATCAGTATTGCGACGTTTTCTACAGAAATTTTACGAAATGAATTTTCTATTTTCCTCATCTTTTCATTTAAAAAGTCAAACAAATCACTTGGAAAATCTGAGCCGAGCAATTTCTGCAGAAAATTTCTGAATAGATTAAATTGCATCGAAATTTCATTGAAATGGACAAAAGATGTCGTCAATTTCCAACAAAACTATTGTCAAAAGAATTAAAAAATTTCACATAAATCGTTTTTTTATATTCAAACGTGTAATTTCTGCAACAAAAATTGATGAATTTGTCAAGTTTCCATTTTACCCCAGCACTAGATCACCGGAAGCCCATTCATCTAAAAAAATATTTTTAATAAATTGTGCGCAATATCGGAAAAAATACAGAACAATCACCAACAGTTAGAAGAACTGCGATAAAAAAGCAATGCAACTTCGACTCGATCTTATCACCACCTGAGATAACTCCCAATGCCTCCACTCCCTCAAACCCCACCAGTTCCGCCGCAGAACCCCCCGAAAACTCCATACCGACCTATATATTCACCAAGCGAGTCAAGGACACAGAGTGGCTCGACTCAAAACACCGCACACCGCACGCCATGGATGAGAGCATTTTGAAATCGCGTCATAACTCGATTTAGACCTATCGCAACAATAACAAGTACATTTAGCTAGACCTCGTTCAGCGTTAGAACGTGGTAGTGAGCGATAGAAGCATAATAACCCCATAAACACGGAAAAAGTGTCTTTTAGGTTAGGAAAGTGGTGACGGTTGAGTGGAGACAATGCGCTGAGAGTACCCGTGTTGATCCCAGTTAATAAACTAATTAATTAAGATATTCCTCCGACGATCTTGAAGACCAAAATACCAAGATGGTCTTCGAGTCGATCGTCACTGAACTCCTCAACAAGTTCCTGGGGGAGTACATCCAGAATTTGGATTACAAGCAGCTGAAAGTCAGCCTCTGGGGCGGTAAGTCCGAGAATTTTATCAACACTTTGTTTTATCGCTGGTGACAACTACCAGCGCTCACGATTTAGGCGTAATCAACACCTGTGCGTGACAATTTCATCATCACGTAGACGATGTGTTTCATAAAGTGATGTCATCTAGACTATTTTTAGATCGAAAACGGCAGGAATGTCGTTTTGCATTGTAAGTCATCGGGAGGGCGTGGGAATGTTGAGGAAGTGGAGTGGATTTTCTTTTGCGATGATATCCGCTTATGAATGTAAAATTTATCCCCGATTGGGAGGACTGACGATGGGATTGCATCGGTTTTTGGGGAGTAACTCTGAAAGTCGCTGAGATTTCGAAATTTTTATGAGGAGATTTTTTTTAGAAAATTTCAAGCGCTAGAAGAAAGCTCCTGACGAAGAATGCGCTATCTCCCTCAGATTCTGAGATATTCACGAATAACTTTTCTGGAGCTGAGATATTTTAATGATTTAATTGAAAAAGAATGGAATTAGTTTTTAATAGGTGTCTCAGAATTGAATGGAGATAATTAAATTTTTTTCCCAAGTTTTTTTTTAGGGTAACTCTTTCTCTTTTTTAGTTGAAGGTCAAACAACCCTTGAGAACGTTCAGGGTCAAATGATCAGAATCAATTGACTCTTAAACTCTCAAAAATCGAATTTCCCACTGGCTAATATCAGGGATGGCCATATTCATCAATTCAGTAGCGAAGTGGTCAAACGGTTTAAGTCGATTTTGACTATTGGCCAGTTTTCAGTGAATATCTCGAAATATAAGGGAGATAGCAAAATTTTTCTCATAACCTTTTTAGTAGCACTCAATTCGCTCTACAAAAAAGGTTATTATGAAAATTTCGCTATCTCCCTTAAATTCGGAAATATTTCTGGAAAACTCAACCAAAGACTAAATTGACTTAAATCGTTTGACCACTTCGCTACTGAATTATAGTTGCCGTTAAATTTTGAAGTAGTCAATTCGATAATATCATTCTTAAATTTTGAAGTACGGAAGGAATCATCAATTTAAATATTCAAATTCCGAATTACTTTATTAATCAATAATTTAGTTAGGAAGATTGACAATTATTTGGTTAACCGAAAATCCCTTTTACGAAATGAGTATTATTTACTTAATAGAAAATTTACAGTTCCATATTATCAATTATTTAATCCATCACCAATCGAAATTTTAGATTTAAATCTTAATCAAAAGTAATCAAGAGTTAATATTGAAAAATTTAATGATTGATGGCCATCCCTGTCTAATATTCTGCTAGTTTCACCTTCATCAGGATTAATTTAACCCTCAACTGCATCTCCGTCAACTTCACCCCCTAAACAATAATTTCTCCGCCCTCCACCAGGCGACGTAGTCCTGACGGACCTCCTAATCAACGAGAATGCCCTAGACATGCTAGACCTGCCCATAAAACTGGGCTACGGTCGCCTCGGCAAGCTAATCCTAAAGATCCCCTTCAAAGACATGTGGAACGGTCAGATAGACGCGATAATCGAGGAGCTCTTCATCCTGATCGTTCCCTCTAGCCAAGTGAAATACGACCCCGAGAAAGAATCAAAGAATGAGCTCGAGGCCAAGCGCAAAGAGCTCGCGCGGATCGAGCAAACGAAGCTCCTCGCCGATACAAAACTCCAGGAGAAGCTCGACGACTCGATGATGGAGAAGCTCATCGCGCGGATGATAAAGAACATCCACGTCGAGATAAACCGAATTCACGTGCGCTACGAGGACCACGTAACCTTCAAGGATCACCCGTTCTCGATGGGCTTCACCCTGAACCGCCTGGCCCTGGAGAGCTGCAACGACTCCTGGCTGACGACTGGAAACCTCAAGGACATGTACTCGATCCAGCAGATCTTCAAACTCCTCACGATGGACGGCTTCGCTGTCTACTTGAACCCGAACCTCATGCAGTTCAGCAAGCAGCCACTGACGAAGTACCTCAGCCTCTTCTCCGAGAGCATCGCAACGACGGACCACGTGCCCGAGGACTACCAGTACCTCGTGGGGCCGATAAACGTGAAAGCTAAACTCAAGCTGAACCCCAAGCCAGAGACTGACGGCAGCAACTACACAATTCCGAAGGTCTGGCTGGACCTGGAGATGCAGAAGTTGAGAATTGGCCTGACCAAGCGCCAGTACCAGACTCTTCTCCAGCTGTCGGAGGGTCTCGACCGCGCGACGAAGGCAGCCCCCTTCAGGAAGTACCGTCCAGACGTCCCGTCGTACCGAGGGCACTACAAGGAGTGGTGGCAATTCGCCTACAAATGCGTCCTGGAGGAGACAGTTCGAAGATGCCGCAGGAACTGGAACTGGCTGCACATGAAGAACCACCGAGACACGTGCAGGAACTACGCGGAGATCTACCAAACGAAACTGACAGCTAAGAAGCCGTCCAAGGAGATCGAGGAGCGTCTGACGGAGTGCGAGAGGAAGCTGGACATCTTCAATCTCGTGATCATTCGTCAGCAGATCGAGATGGAAGTCGAGAGACTCGCGGAGAAGGAGAAGAGCCTCAAGGCGAAGCAGGGATGGTTTGGCTTCCTGTGGGGATCATCGCAGACGGAGGAGGTGGAGGAGCTCAACTCGGCGGCAGCTATCATGAAGAAGTTCCAGGACGCCATGACCCCGCAGGAGAAGGAGAAGCTGTTCAGGGCCATCGATTATCAAGAGAACAGCGCACCTGCGCATTACCCCGAGACCTTCGTCATGATTGACACGAGTTTCTTCCTGCACGGGCTGCAGATCACAGTATCCGATACTGATAAAGAGTGCCCCGAAGTACTGGATCTCCAGTTCAACGGGGTTCACGCCGCGTTCAAGTCCAGACCAGCTGCCTCGGCAGTTCTGGTGACGGCTTCTGTTAACGAGCTGAAGCTGCTCGGCGTCAAGCAGAAGGGGAGGATTCCCTCTCTGTTGAAGTCAGACTCAGCTGGAGGTCCCGACAGGAGTTTGTTCTCGGTGTCCTACGAGAAGAACCCTCTGGACAAGCTCTGCGGTGACAGAATAATCGTCAAGTCCAAATCTATTCACATCGCGTACGACGCCCAGACGATAATCGAGTTGGTCAAGGTCTTCAAGGTTCAGAATCAGTCGGCCCTGAATCAGATTCAGGCAGCCGCAGCTGAACGCCTCGAGGGCTTCAAAGAGATGTCGGCTCTGGGTCTTGAATACGCGATCCAGAAGCACTCGAGTCTCGATATCCAAGTGGATCTCGGTGCTTCACAGCTGATCGTACCCTTCGGCGGTTTCTACACCGACGAAGCTGCTGTTATAGTCGTCGACCTGGGGAGCTTGAAGATCCACACCCTGGAGAAACCCAAGGACGACTTGGCGACGAGCTCCGTCAAGCAGTTGGTGAGCATGGGAAAGAGCGAGGAAGACATCCTCGCGCACTTGAGGAAATACAGTTACGACAGGTTCGCTTTAAAGATCGTGAAATTTCAAGCACTTGTTGCTTCGGAGGGGGAGGATTGGCAGAGCGCCCTGGCGGGTGCTGGCCACTCGATGGTACTTCTCGAGCCGACGACACTCGAGGTTCAATTCCACAAGTGTCTGATCACGGACGATCCGGTTCTGCCTAAAATGCGGGTCATTGGGCAGCTGCCGTCTCTGGCACTGAGCATTGAGGACGCGAGACTTCTGGAGGCGTTGTCGATTGTTCAGAGTATTCCATTGCCTGAGGATGACTCCGGGACCTTGGAGTCAGTCCCCCTGGCCAAATCCATGTCCCAACTGTCGTTGAACTATATGAAGGAGTTGACTGCTGTTCAGAAGGAGCAGAAGCAGCCGAAGACTTCTGTTCAGCAGTCGACTGACCTCGAAGCCAAGTTCGTAATGAAGGAGTTCACGCTGACGCTGTCTCGAAGGGAGCCAGACGACAGGGTCACTCCTTTCGTCAGGATCGAGGTCCTGCAGCTCGAAGCCGAAATGATCCAGAGGACTTACGATCAAGAAGTGATGTTGAGACTCGGCGGAATCCAGGCTAAGCAGTACCACAACAAGGAGGAGATCTACATGATTAACACACCGATGACTTCCGGACGGGAGGAGTACCTCATCGTCATTCAATACGTCAACGTGAACAAGCATTCCCCGGAGTTCGTGACGCGTCACGGGTCTGTGGTGAAGCTCCTCAAACTGGAGTTCACGACTTTGAACGTCTTGCTGCATCAGGAGGCGTTGATAAACGTCATGAAGTTCCTGACTCACATGCAGGAGAAGATGACACCGTCGGTCCCTGCGGTGGACGAGCCGACGGATCGTCACATCAGTCGTCTGCCGCAGCTGTCGGTGATCCCTGAAGACACTTCGACGTTCATCAAAGACCAGATTCAGAAGCAGAAGACCAAGTCAGATAAGAGGAGGAAGAGAGTGGTGGAGTGTATTGATCTCAAAGTGAAAGCCAAGATTGGGACCATCTCCTTGAAGATGAGCAGTGACTTCAGGGACATCACTGCGTTTTTCATCGAGGGGATCACAGCCGGGTTCATGATGAAGGCGTCCTACTCCCAGGCGAACGTCAATTTGACGTCCATCAACATTAAAGATCTGAATCAGTCCTCGATTTACGAGAATATTGTCTCGGTGGTGGACGGCGAGGCTCTCCAGGTCGAGGCAGTGATCTATAATATCGAGCCTGAGGACGTCGACAAGAACAACATGTCGATCAAAGTGATAATGGGGTGTCACAGAATAGTGTTTTTGAACGCCTTCGTGACCGGTGTCATGAACTTCCTGAACCACTTTCAAGTCGCTCAGGAAGCGATCAAAGAGGCCTCGGCGGCAGCTGCTGAAGCCGCCAAAACGAACATCAAGGATGTGCAGGAGTCGGCAGCCAGGATCGAGTTGTCGATCAAGATCAAGGCTCCGATCATCTACGTTCCCATGAACTCCAAGAGCGATCACTGCCTCATGTTGGACATGGGTAATCTGACGATCTACAACACCCTGAAGGCTCTTGAAGTCCAAACCGACAGTGGGGATTCCCCGATCATCGACGAGATGAAGATTGAGTTGCAGAATCTCAAGCTCTCTCGCATGAAGCTCAACAAGGACAACTTCTCCGCCGAAAACGAAGTCCTTCTGCTCCAGCCAGTCACCTTCACACTGCTGATGAACAGGAATTTGTCGACAGCTTGGTTCACAGCGATTCCTGACATTGAGATGTCAGGAAGACTGAAGACGATCGAGTTGTTACTGAGCCACGAAGACTACACGAGGATTCTTCAGCTGCTGGAGGAGAACCTCGGGGAGGTGATTGAGGAGCCTCAGCCGGTTCACCGAGCCCCCCAAGCCCCCAGAAAGTCCCTCGACGCCCGTAAAACATCAGTTCCAAAGTGCGAGGTCGAAGTGATCAACAGCAGAACCAGTGACTTGCAGCCGCAGAAGCAGGCGCACACCTCCATCAAGTTCGAGTTCATCATGGACAGTTTGATGATTCACCTGTTCACGGGGGAAGCAAAATACCTGAAGACGATGGCGTCACCCTTGCACAAGCCTGAGAATGGTCTCGCCAAATTTGGATTGAGCCACTTCGCAGTGAAGGGTAGAATCTTCGAGGACGGGCTCCTGGCGACGTCGATCCTCCTCATGAATTGCACGTTGGACGACACCCGTCAGGTTCGCCAGGGCTCCCTGACGAGGATAATGGAGAGAACCTCAGCAATTCCTTCGATCGACGACTTGACGAAGGACGACTCGAAGCCGGTGCGAAGTATGCTGGACGTGACAGTCCGCAAGAGCTCCAACGACATGTTCGTTGACGTCCGAGTCTTCTCCTTCAGCATAATCGTCTCCCTGGATTACCTCATGAAAGTCAAGGAGTTCTTCGATGTTGAGGGCAGTGAATCCACGCAGAACGCAGCGTTGATGGCGTCTCAGAAGGGGACAGACGTCCTGAAGAAGAAGCCCTCCCCCCCGCCGACGCCCTCGATGATGACGATAAACCTCCTCGTGGAGAAGCCAGACATCATCCTCCTCGAGGACATGGACGACATAAACTCCAACTGCATTGTCCTCAACACCGAATTACAGATGAAGATACGGATGATCGGAGAGCACCAGGTGATATCGGGATCTGTGAAGGACCTCTCCCTTCTCGCTGGAATATACAATCCAGCGAGACGAGCCGACTGGATCTACCAAGTCCTCAAGCCCTGCAGCATCAGCATCGCTGGTTCTACTCCCGAGGGAAAGGGCCTGCACGTCGACGTCTGCTGCACAGACATCCACCTGTCAGTGTCCCCTGGAGTGATAGAGATCCTGAATCGCGTCGTCCAGAAGATAACGGCGAAGGAGCCAGAGCCCGGGGAACAAGTCCAGGCGGATCCAACTCACGAAGGGCTCTGGTTGATCACCCCCTACGAGGAGAAGAACTACTGGTTTCTGAAGACTGAAGTTGCCCAGGAGGCGCTCGACTTCCTCGCCAGCGAAGAAGCCGAAGAGGTGGCTGTCTACAAACCGGAACTGGCCATCCTCTCAGCCCCGAACATAGTCTTAACCCTCGAAGCTGGTGTTGGCAACAAGACACTGCCGATGCTGCTCCTGCACATAGGCTTCCAGAGCCACGTGAACGACTGGAGCACGAGGACGATGAACATCGACAGCTCGATATCAGTGATAATGGCGTACTACAACAGTCGTCTGGCCCTCTGGGAGCCCCTGATAGAGCCCATCGAGGCCTTCAAGAATGGAGAGCGAACCTCCACCTCCTGGGAGCTGAAGACCAAGATCTCCTTTCACGACGTCTCCTCGGACTCCCCCACGGCCAGCGCCCTGAGCCCCAGCACTGAGAGCGAACCCGACGAGTTCCAACAGCCCACACGAATGTCCATAGACATTCAGTCCTCTGAGAATCTCGAGATCACAGTCACCAAGACGTGTCTGGAGGTCCTGCAGCAGCTGGGGCAGGCCTTTTCCAATGCCATGATCGTAACGGACAAGGGATCACCCTCGAAAATGGCGCCCTATCTGCTGAAGAATGAGACCGGCTTGGCGCTCACCCTCGACCTCGTCAGGAGCAAATTCAAGGTCATCAGTGGTACCTTGGAGGCGCTCGATCCAGTCTCAGAAAATTATTCGGAAGTTGTTCTTGAGAACGGGGCGTCGGTGCAACTGGCGCCGAAGACGGTCAAGGCGGGGGTCGATGTCCTGGAGCAGCTCAAGAGCGCCTCCGTCAAGGACTCCGGAGATAACGTCTTCGTGGTGACGTTCAAGGACATCGGGAATAAGCTGGAGATACCCGTGCTGAAGGCTGACAAGCGATTCTTCCCGCTCAAGTACAGGAAAGAGGGCTCCGAGGAGTGGGGGCTCATCTCTGATGTTGTCGTTGAGGATGGCAGCACTGTCGTCACCCTCAGGAGCATTCTCCAGGTGCACAACCACTTCACCCAGCCCATCTCCGTTTACTACATGACGAAGCGGGGGAATGAGGTGGAGTGCGTGGGGACTGTTGAGCCTGACAAGAAGCTGAATCTTCCGCTGGACGCGGTGTACACGCCTACCAATATTTATTGGTTGTTCTTCAGTGTCGATGGGTACATGGTGTCCGTGGAGCCCTTCGTCTGGAAGGACCTCCAGAAGACGGTCTCCATGACGAAAGTGCTCAAGTGCGACTCCAGGGGGAAGGGGGATGGCAACAGGGACGTCTTCTTCATTCAGGTCAGTAGATTTTTTAGAGGGTTTCTCGTTTTTTTGGTGTGTGCATTCGCAATTAGCATAACTGATTTCAGTTGGGCGAGGGATTTTTGAGAAGTGGGGGAGGAGAGACGAGTCTGAAGAGCAGATTATTTTGGAAATGTTCTCAAAGGTCTTCTTTTGTTGAATCGATGGGATTTTTTTTTGAGATTTTTGCAAAATCATCTGCGAATTAACTCTCTCTGGAAGTATTTCGTATTCTTTAATACTTTGTTGGTGAATTCACAGGCGAGAAAATTTCATTTGAGAAACTAGAGGATTCTATTGGTTTTCTATTTGGAAATTTTGCAGTTTTTATGCGCATTTTTTTCAGATAAAAATATTTTTCTTTTCCTGTAATTAAATAATCAGATAAAAAATTGGAAAAATTGAAGCCGTAAAATATTTCAATAGAATTGGGGAGACACTAATAGTCTCCAAATGAAGTTCTATAGAATTAGTTTGTATATGAAATTTTTTCGTAAGCATTTCACTGGTTAATTTTGATGATTTGGGTTTGATTACTCTCTCCACTTCTAGATTATTTTCACTCTCATCGTCGTGGGTTGTATCGTCTATAATAACACCAATCTAAATTTATTACTAAGTAATGTTGATTGGCGGAGTAGACTAACACGTTTTCATAATGATAAGAAGTTGAAATCGTCAACGGTTTCTTGTAAGGACACACCGAAATTATTGGAAGGGCCTGTCAAGGTAGCGTTCACGAAGAGCTTTTGAACCGTTCGAAATGTTGTTGATTGGCTTTTTGATTATTCGTAGTTTTAATCAGCGCACGGAAAAATTTCATTGAAAAATCTAGGGAATTCGTTGGAAAATTCAATTAGTTTTTGGTCAATTGTATGGAACTCCACAGCTTTACTGCACATTTTTTTATTGAAAATTTTCTCCCGTCGCTTCCAATTTTACTTCTCTTTCCCTGAAAAAAATTAAAAAAATTTGAGCCAAGGAATTTCCGTAGAACATATTTCAATAAAATAAATAATATAGAAAAATCGAATTCAATTTTTTTTCTATAGAATATTTTCCTTTTAACAATTCTATTGACAAAAAGACGCAAATAACCAATGGAAATCCAATAGAATTTTCCAGCAAATGCACTAGTTTTTCCAACGAAATTTTTTCAGTACGATAGTTGTCAGATGTAGGTTTATTGGGATTGTATGGATAGATAGAACTTGCATCATTTCGCATGAATATTTGATGTGATCAGGGATGTTAATTGCTGTTGTCTGCAAGTCCAGGATTGCCTAGTGATCCTCATCATTTATTGCAGGCTGTGGGGGAGATTGAACAGGTGTTCTTTGAGAACACAAGCAGGCACACCATGGCCAGCACAATCTATAATATTCATTTGTATCCAGCTGTCTACCTCAAGAATTTCTTACCCATTGATATCCTTATTGAGCTTCCTGGCTCTGTCGAGGAGATGCTGGTGAAGGCCAGTGAAACACTGCAGTTGCCGGTTATTGATCCCAGCAATTCCAACATTGTCATCAAGGTAATAATTATTGAGTTGAGAAATTGACTTTTTTTTAATGTAAAATTTTTTCTTGAAGTGTTATCTTTAAATTTCAATATTTCGAGATTGAATTTAACGAATTTGACGTCATTTTTAAGGTTTCCATTCAGAAAACTTTTTTTGGTTTAAAACAAAACCATTTGACCCCAAATAAAAACAAAAAAAAGTGTAAATTATAGTCATCACATTCTTATGGAATTAATTTGTCAATAATGTTAAAAAATGAGAAATTATTGCTCTTTACGAATTAGCTGCCAACATTGTCATCAAGGTAATAATTATGATGAGAATGAGTTGAAGGATTGACTCTTTGAATATAAAATTTTTTCTTGAGATGCTATCTTTAATTTTTAATATTTCGAGAGTGAATTTTATGAATTTCAGTTGAGGGTCTAAAGGTTTTAAAAGTCATCAAGGGTTGTTCGACCCTCAAATAAAAACAAAAAAAATCGTAAATTATAGTCATTCTTATGGAATTAATTTGTCAATATTTTTTTAAATGAGGAAATATTGTCCTTTACGAATTAGTTACCTCAATATCTGGAGAAGGATTGGTCCTGCAAGGGTGAAATAGTGGCCGAGCCCCCGGAATTCTCGGTATGGTCCTTCGAGTCCTTCGACAGTGCCCAGAAAGTCATAATGGATCTTGGAATGCACTGTTCATTCAATCACGGATCAGTGGTAATGGCTCTCTACTGTCCCTTCTGGATGCTGAACAAGACGGGATTGATGTTGTCTTACAGGGTGAGTACTGAGTAATGACTCCAGTCTCTCCAGATAATTTCATCATTTATGTTTTTTAATGGAGTTCTGATGATTTTTTTGTTGCCTTTTCGTTGCACATTTTTAATTTTTTTTTGACATTCATTTCCTCCTCATATTTAGTTCAATTTTCGGGTCCTGAGGTACTTCCCGTGGGTTCTATTGACCTCTTCGCATGCATCAACTAAAACGACTAATTTATTTCCTTTAGCGCTAATTAGAAGCATCATCACGAAAGATTAACGCAAATCCATTATGGTAATCATATCGGATTTGAATTATTTTCCAGAAATCAAGTAAAGGTGGAAAAGACCAGACGAGTCCAGCCAAGGTAGAACATCTCTTCATTAAGTATTCGTTGTATTTTTTTTAACAAAAGCTGCTTTTCTAGTTTGTGATGGCTCTTGACGACAGATGCGTTAGTTAGGATGAGGTCGTATGGTCACGAATCCCTTTCGAAGAGTAAAAAGTGTGATGAAATGCTCTTGTCGAATTTCAAATCCCAGAACACACGAAAAAAAATCATAAAAACCCAGCGAATTCGATAGATTTTTTTTTTCTAGTGGTAATTGTATTACTTTTTGATCAATATTGAAGAATTCCGCAGCTTTACTGCTTGTTTTTCTAATAGAAAATGTCCAACAAAAATTATTTTGTAGAAACAATTTACACTACACTGAGAGAAAAATTTGCTAATACGTAGACCATATTTACTTGAGAGAAGACAATTGTGTTCAATAGTTTAAATCTCAGAATGTTTGTGGTTCACGGAACTCGAAGGAATTCTCATTTATCACTATCGTTGCGCATGATATCATGAATATATTACATATCGAAATATTGGGACTGCATAACAAAAAAAAAATGAAAACAATAAATACTTGAAGATTGACGATTCTTCTACGCGATTTGAGTGAGTTCATTTGCGACAAATCATACTTGAGTACAACAATATTTTAAAGCATGAGACTTTTCTCTGGCCACGTCAGTTGAGATGTCTGAGAGAATCAAACAATTGAAGAAAAATTACTTGTCTCAAGAAAATATGTTTCAGATATTAGAAATTTTTTTTCTCAGTGTAGAATTTCGTCTTTTTTCTATTGAGACATTTTCTGTACGAATTCCCATACTTTTCGTTTTGACGAGTGGCCATACAACTTACATACGAAATATCCCGGCAATCTACATTAGAAGATGTCTTTCAGAAATTCCTATGCTCCATGCGACCCAGACGCCGCAGGGGAGAGTTTGGCAGGCGAAAGGGCAAATCGGTGATTCAATCATTTCATATTCACTCAGTTTCAGTGCTGTGCTACTCACAATCTCTAAGATACTTCTGGGATACTGGTGTTCATTAACAACAAGAGCTGCTATCCTCCACTCATTTATCTTAGACAATCCATCTGCACTGTGCACGTCTCGCTGAACTCCCAGCATGAATTCGATGTTGTTTAATATCTTCTAATCACCAAAAATCCAAGATAACGAGGTGCTGCGGGTGGGGTTTCATTTGCAGCTATTGGTGGTGATGGTGGAAAATTTCAAAAGTAATCTGTGATGGAGGGATGAAGGACTGAACACTAATCAACAGTAATTCTATCCATTCTTTCGCAAGAATTGGATTTTTCCCCCATTTTTTTTAAATTCATGAAACAATTATTTTCCAAACTAACAGTCCGACTTGAACAAATGCTGATATATTCTGACGCTTCAGGCACTAAAAAATTTCATAGAAAAACCTAGCAAATTCGATAGAAAGTCTATTCATTTTTGGCCGATTCTATTGAAGAATTCCGCAGCTCAACTGCGCATTTTTTTCATAAAATGTGTCCTATCACCACTTCATCGCAGAGTCTTTAACTGTAACCCGACGAAAATTTTCCCCTGAAAACCCCTCCAAAGCACTGAAACCGAACCCCCTAATTCCAGAGTTCCGAAGACCAGTTGAACGTAATGTACCACCCGGAGCACTACAAGGGGCCAATTCTGTTCTCGTTCCGCTCGAAAGCCTTCTTCGGTAAGAAGAAAGCAATGATCCGCGTGGAGGACGGCGAGTGGTCCGAGAAATTTCCGATAGACGTTGCTGGTAGCAAGGGAGTTGTCGTCTGCAGGTACAACGGCAAGAACTATCGACTAGGTGTTCACAATCAGCTGACGTACAACTCCCTGACAAAGCAGATAACATTCACGCCTTACTACGTTCTCATAAACAACGCGAGGTTCTTGATCGAGTGCCAAGAGGCGAATAGGCCGGCGAGTATGATAACCCGAGTGCCCCCAGACGAGTGTGTGGCCTTCTGGCCGGAGTCTGAGCAGGAGCGAAAGCTCCTGGTGGCGATGGTGGGGGGACACAGTGAGAAGACAGCGCCATTTGTCTTCACCGAGGTCCACACGACCCTCCTAAAGCTAGACAACAAATACGGGGGCATAAACATTGACATTCAGATAAATGAGGGTGGAATCTACATTTCGATGTCCGGGTACAGCCCCGGAAATGCCCCAGCGCTGATAATTAATCACACGTCGCAGACAATTCACCTCTGGGAGAAGGGATCGATGAACGTAAGATCGTTGCAGTCGTTCAATCGAATGTTCTACACGTGGGAGAACCCCTCGGGCCCCAGGAAGCTCCTCTGGGAGGACGACAACAAGAAGGAAATCGAGAATGACTTGAGACAGGATAATCTGGGGGCCTTTCAGACCCCAGAAACCCAGGAGGAGATCTTCTACGTGTCGTTCTTGGACGGAACTCAGAGAGTCTTGCTGTTCACGACGTCTTTGAAGATAGCTGAGGAGTGCCAGCTAGTTGGAGACCTCGAGGTCGCTGATCAGGACATAACAATGAGCATCCATGGGGTAGGACTCTCACTGGTGAACAATGCGGCAAGAACGGAGCTGTTGTACATGTGTATTGCAGACTCTGGGATCATCTGGGAGACGCGAAAGTCGAGTGGAGGACGTTGGAAGCCTCTCAGCACTCAGGAGGTCCTTGCCATTGAGGAGGGATATCAGAAGTACCTGAGGGAGGTCCAAGTGAGGAGCGACACACCCCCCAGGGTGATGCTCGATCCCAAGTTGATGGTCGATTACCAGAATATGGAGCTACTGAAGCCCAATCGGAGGTACATGAGGCGAACCTTCCAGACTGGCCTCTGGGTGCAGTACAGAACGTCTGCTCATCAGGTCCAGCTTCATGCCAAGATCAACAGGCTGCAGATCGATAATCAGTTGTTTGATTGTGTCTTCCCGGTGATTCTTGCCCCTGTACCTCCACCGAAGAGTGTGGCTCAGTCGTCTGTCGTGAAGCCCTTCGCTGAGATGAGTATTGTTAAGCGGCTGTTGGAGCACAGTACTGTGCAGCAGTTTAGGTACTTCAAGGTGCTGATCCAGGAGTTCCATGTTAAAGTGGATATTGGGTTCATCAACGCACTGATGGCGTTCTTCGAGGCGAATCAGGTGAGTCAGGTGGAGAATTTTGTCTGCATGACGGTTGGTAAATGAATTTGAAGCCCTTTGAAGTGTGTCATGTATTCATAAAACGTATGAATCTTCTCGAAATTGAATAATTTCAAAATTATGACAAATAATGCAATCAGGCCAATTTCATTAGAAAATTGAATAGGGTAGCTTCAATTGCACATGTGTTTCATAATTTTTCAGTCATCAGAAAGTATAGAATCTCAATTATATTGACCTCACGTTAGACTAGGGAATGAAGGACCCCCTACGCAAGAGGTTAAAAGATTCCCATAACCGATAGTCAGGGGAATCCCATGGAACCAGAGCAACATGGATGCGCAATCGTATAATCGATTAGAAGAGAGCAAACAGAATAGGCGGGAAAATTTTACTTTTCAATATTGAACTTAATCTTGTGTGAAACTTAATTTTACAGGCGTTGTGATAAAAATTTATTGAAAATTACTACTGAAATCGACCGAAGCGAATTATAAAACAGTAAATATACCGTTGTTTCCGACATTGTCATCAATTCTTATTTTCCTTGTTCCCCAGGTGGCAATCAGGTCAATTCTATTAGAAAAGAGAATAGTGTAGCTTCAATTACACATGTGTTTCATAATTTTCCATTAATCACAAAGTACAGAATCTCAATGATATTGAGTTCACGTTAGGCTAGGGAACGAACGGCGCCGTGCGCAAGAGGTTAAAAGATTCCTATAACCGATAGTGAGGGGAATCCCATGGGCCCTGACTAACATGGATGCGCAATCGTATAACCAATTAGAAGGGGGCAAACAGAATAGGCGGGAAAGTTTTAATTTTCAATCCGGGTATTCTTCACACGCGTCGAAATAAAAAATGTTCAATATTTGTTGAAAACTACTATTGAAATCGATCGATGCGAATTATAAAATAGTAAATATTCCATTGTTTCCGAAACGGTCATCAATTTCTGGTTTCCCTGTTCCCCAGGTGAACGACGCAGAGGAAAGTAAGCTTTTCCAAACCGATATGAAACTAGTAGACGAACCCCTGATGTACCACGTGAACCTAATAACGACCGCCGAGCAGAAGAACTTCTTCGATCTCCTCCACTTTTCACCCCTGAAAATCCACGTGAGTTTCTCGATGACTGGGAGTGGAGGCGGTCCCTCCGCAGTCCCCCAGGTCCTCAATGTCGTTCTCCAAGGGATCGGAGTCACCTTAACCGACATCAACGATATCGTCTTCAAGTTGGCTTATTTCGAGCGCGATTACGTCTTCATGACAAATCAACAGTTGATTTCCGAGGCGACGAGCCACTACGTGGGGCAAGCCATCAAGCAAGCTTACGTTCTGGTTCTAGGTCTGGACGTAATCGGTAATCCATACGGTTTAGTGGTTGGCACGATGAAGGGGATTGAGGATCTGTTCTACGAGCCTTTCCAGGGGGCGATCCAAGGCCCAGGGGAGTTCGCCGAGGGCTTGCTCCTGGGGGTCAGAAGCATGCTGGGTCATACTGTTGGGGGAATGGCTGGGGCTGTCTCCAAGATCACTGGAGCCATGGGGAAGGGGTTGGCAGCTTTGACTTTCGATCAGGATTACCAGAGGAAACGCCAGGAGCAGCTGAACAAGCAACCAGCTAATCTCCAGGAGGGTTTAGCTAGATCCGGAAAAGGTCAGTCATGAATACTTTCATAAAACGGACATTTCAGTCCTTTTATGCCCCAATTTTTTTTCGAATCCTTCCACACGCGTGTTCAAATTCCCTGTTTCCCTCTAGGTCTGGTGATGGGAGTTGTCGATGGCGTAACAGGAGTTGTGATGAAGCCACTCTCAGGAGCTAAAGAGGAAGGGGTAGAAGGGTTCTTCAAGGGTTTTGGGAAAGGCGTGGTGGGACTGGTGACGAGACCAACAGCTGGTGTCATCGACTTTGCGAGTGGATCCTTCGGGGCTGTGAGACGCTGTGCCGAGTTGACGGAGGAGGTCAGGAGGACGAGGCCCCCGAGGTACCTCCAGCCTGACTCCCCTGTCAGGCCCTACGTCAAGGAAGAGGCCGAGGGACACAAGATTCTCCTCGAGCTCGAGAAAGGAAAGTTCGCGAATACTGATGTCTACTTCTTCCATGTCAATGTTCAGAAAGATGTTCTTCTGCTCACGGATAAGAGGATCGCTTATCTCGAGCATAACGATCTCTTCGGGGGCTGGAAGGTCGACTGGAGCTACACGTGGCAGGAGATACCAGAGAAAGCGAAGATTGTTGATAAGGGAGTGCAAATATTCGTGAAGGATGGGAAGAAGAAGAAGTTGGGATTTTTTGGGGGGAGTGATAGCTCGAAAGTTGTGATGATTGGGGATCACTTCTTGAGGCAACAGCTGTGCCATAGGATTGAGGAACAACTGAACCAACTTGAGGTGTGAAGGAGGCACGAAAACAAAGTATAAAAAGAGATAATGCATTCTCTGGGAAATTCTATTGAAAAAGAATCACGCTTTCTTTGGGAACAGGGGGTTTTGTATTCTTTCTGCTGTTTCGTCCATTGACATCGATTTGTGGGTGCCAATGAACATTATTTACTGCCTGAAAGCCGTAGTGTTTAAGGGGAACTTCGTGTTTCTGGTAGTTGGAGAACTTCATGCTAGTCCGAACCATGATAATCAAAAATCTACGTCAAGACTTTTTCATGCACAAACACACGTGTACAAAAATTTCTATTGAATTTCTAAGACTTCTATTGATAACTGAGTTATTTGCCCATTATGTTGATAAGGTCAATACAATTCGTTTTTTATATTGATACATTTTCCATGAAAATTCCTTCACCTGAGCTTTCTAAATTTTTGATTTGATTTTTTGAACTAGTGAAAATGAATGAAAAAATTGGAAAATTCATTCATTTAACTCATTTTTGAAATCCAATAGTTTCTGTTGAAGACAAACAGAGCATAAATGCGGAATCTCAATAGAATGGGCGAAGAACGAATAGATTTTCTAATAGATGTCCCACGGAAATCCTTTTTTGGATATTTTTTTCACACGCACATGCTATTTTTTTTGGAAACACTATGAAAAAATGAGAATATTGAGAAGTATTTCAGGGATGAAGATGTCGACTTCAGTATCGAATTGAGTCATGTCCTTATATCACTTCATTACCAGTTTTTGTAGATGAGACATGCGTCTCGTTCTATGGCCTACTGAGTGCCTGCATTAGTATAAAATCATGTAGAATTTTGTTTTAATTTCAATTTTTATTTTTTACACGAGTGAATTCGCCGTTTTCAGGCGAGATATCGATATTTCTATTAGATAACGTTTTTGTTTATTGATATATTCCAGATTACACTTTTTTATACGCATTGTAGATGAGATGAGTGAGGAAAACTTTCACGAACTGTCCGGTATTATCAACTGTGAGAGAACCATCGTTAAAAGCTTCCATTATTCTATTGATTATTTATGAATGAGGAGACTGGGGTCTGGTAACAACGGTTGTTTGATATTTGAATTTTAAATGAAGAATGCTGGAGATATTGTTATGTGAATTTAATAAAGGAGTGTCATGAGAGATGGCTTTGTTGTTTATTATTGGTCTGTATGACTGCCTTCCTGTAGTCACGATGAAATTTCATGGAAAACCCCAGTGAATTCGACGGAAAATTCTATTATAGTCAAGTGGATGCGCTGCGAAATAGGGATGGCCATCAATTGATTTTACTAAATTACCAATTGATGATCAATTAAATATTTAATAATATGGAACTGTAAATTTTCTATCAAGTAAATAATACTTAATTTCTTATAAGGGATTTTCGATTATCCAAATAATCGCCAATCTTCCTAACTGAATTATTGATTAATAAATAATTGGGAACTTGAATATTTGAATTGATGATCACTTGAATAACTAAAATTTAAGAGTGATGCTACAGAATTGAGTATTTACTAATTTGAGGGTAATTATAATTTATGGATATAGCTAGCCCTGCTTCGAAAAACGCGTTTGTTTGAAACTTTTCGTAAAAAGTCTAAAGCCAAGCTGGACTTTTGATTTTTAATTTTTCAAAATCACTGTAGATGCGCATGTCTCTGAAAATATTGAAGAATGCGTGGAATTTTGTAATGAATCGCATGATTTTATTTACTTCTCTAATGTGAAATAGTTATCAAGATATCAACAAGATAAACTCATTTTGTTCCACCGCTTCGTTCTTGAAATATCCCTCATTTGTTTTTTTTTAATCCATTGGATTTTCCCGACGTTTTTTTGAGGTTCGAGAGGAAATACCTGGGGCATGGGATCAGCACCCGGGCGAGGGACTAACGCAAGGTTAGATACAATTTCATGAAGTGAATTGTCTCTTCATAATTTTAAATAAACTTCTCTCTTCGTGGACGCTCGCGAATTAGTTGCTATTTTTTTTATGACTCACAATTGGATTGATTATTCACCAGAGACGAACCACCCCCTTATTCCTCCCTTGGACCACAAAATTACGAAGGGCCGGAGCCCCTCGGGATGCAGAGTATTCCAGTCGCAGCGGGGGGTCCGCCCTTTCTCCCGCCGTTGGTGAAGGGACAGAAGATTCAAAGCGTAAAGATAATTTCAGAAATTATACAGGACAGAATAGTCTCAGCACAATAGTCTTGACAATTCCTGGAAATTTTCGTCGAATGTCACTGAAATTCGAGGGAATTTCATCACTGAATATTCCCAATTTGACGAACTAAACAATGAAAAGTGGAAATTCCCCTCAAATTATTCCCTAAAAGTAATAAAAATCAGAAGAATGCAATTCTTTTTCATTTGTGCCACACGATGCGTCTAGGGGCCTTATGAAGTGACCGTCGATGAGAATATGGTGAGACAGAGGGAGATGCAGAATCAAGCGATTTACCGGTCATGGCTGGAGCAGCAGAGACGAGCGGCGCTCCCGGAGGACGAGTACTTCGCTGAGTTTCAAATCCCGAAAATCCGGAGAGTGTTCATTCAGAAAGTCTTCTTCATTCTGTTTCTCCAATTCGTATTTACAGCGTTGTACATCGCATTTTTCATGTTCTAGTGAGTTACTCGTTATCAAATTAATTTGGCAGATTATTTGAAATCCCTTTTCTCTTCAGCGAACCGGCAAATGTTTTCATCAAGACGCACTGGTACCTTTGGATTCTCGCCATGTAGTTAACATCATCAATTTTCAGTTAGCTGGTATTGACGTATGAAGAAATTGTAGTATAAAAATTCTGTTTTTATGCGACGATTTCAGTTTAAAAGTATGTAATTTTGCCATGCGATTTGTCAATAGATAATTTTAGCGAAAATTCAGTAGATTATGATTTTTCTACATAAATTACTCTATTGGGATTTGTTTAACAGAAATTCTTGGGCATAAATTTTTTGAATAGAAAGTGGAAAATTCATTCCAAGAATTTTTGGAGAAAAAAATCTACTGACTTGTCCAATTTTTCACAGAATTCCTATGTTGGGGAGAGGATTTCAACTGAATTTTTAACTTGTATTTTAGTTTTGGCCTCTGCGGTCATTAGCTGATTCTATACGAAGGAATCTATTATGTCCAAATGATAAAAATTGATCCAGTCATCCCCCGCCCCCGTCCGCGAAGGGGAGCACGCCAAGGGGATCGAAATATTAGGCCTAGTTCAAATGACTGGATCAATTTTTATCATTTTGTCATAATAGATTCCTTCATGTAGAATCAGCTAATGACCGCAGAGTCCAAAACTAAAATACAAGATAGAATTCCAATAGGAATCGCGAGGTTTTTCAATTAAATTTCTTCGTGCGCGTTATCTATAATTTTTTTCATACGTCGGATGAATCCTTAATTATGATATCCATATTAATTAAATATTATTGTTAAAGGGTAGCATTCATCTGCTCCTACTGCAGCATCTCCCTCACCGACTGCGGCAGAACACAATCTGGCTGGGGCTCCATTTGTCTACTACTCCTAGTAAAATCCTCAAAACAACTTTTTCAATATTTATAATGTAGAAATCTCCCTTGAATCTTTTCGTACACGCCCATCTACATTTTTCTATTATTCTCTCTCATAAAAAATTCAAGACTCTAGCAGAGTCGCATCTGTCGGCCTATATATCCGTCCACTTCGAAGTTGAAGTTGTGCTCATAGCTGTGAGTGCCACAGCTGCGGTCTCCATCTTCATCACGACTGCAGCAGTTTGTTGTAGGGTAAATAAAACCAAAATAAAAATGCAGGAAAAAATTGTGCGGATGGAAATTCCACGAGTTTTCAGCAATTCTATTAAAAATATTGCATTATTTCATCTTATTTTATAGCGATATTTTCCACAGAAATTCCCAAGATAAATTTTCAAAGTTATTTTCAATAGAATAAGTTGTGTAGAAAAATTAAATTTCACTGCTTTTTTTATGCACTATTTTCTATTGAACATTAGCATTTGAAAACGCACAGGATCCATCAGATGGGAATCTAAGAGGAATATAATAGAATTTTCTATTTTGCACTATTTTTTTTCTACCATTATCTTCTTCACCGAAATTTTTTCGTTTGCGTTCAATTTTGGCTTCTCAGTTTGACTTTACGAAATATTCGGGACTGCTAAGCATTCTGGCATTCGTGGGGTTGCTGACACTGCTCCTGTTGGTGATCACAATGATGTTCACCAATATTCCAGCCGTGATGACCATATTTGGATCTATCGGAGCTTTGATATTCTCTCTGGTAATGACCGACCGAGAAAAACGAAATGGAACTATTTCTAGTTTGTACATCTCTGAAAAACCTAGCGAATTCGCTGGAGAATTCTATTGGACTTCTGTTAATCTATCAATTTTTGACCCAAGGTTAATAATTTCAGTACCTCTACTTCGACATTCAAACGATCATGGGCGGCAGGAGAATTCAGATAAGTCCTAATGAAGTGCTCTTCGCTACTACGCAACTCTACGTCGACATCATCGGTCTGTACAGATACATGCTTCTGATCGTCGGAGGCAGTCACTCAAACTCCTGAAGTCTTTTTAATTTTATGAAAGCGTTATTTGAAGAAAATGCAATAAACGATTTTTTCAATTGATATTTCTGCTCATCTTCATTTTACCAAATTGTTATAAATTTTCTTCGTGTTATAACGCAGGAAGAAAAGTTGTAGCAAAATCTCGTGAATTAGTTTAGAAACTATTAACTTTTCGCTAATTCTATTGGAAAATTTGAATCGAAGAAATTTTATAGACAATCCTCAATAGAATAAATTAATTGAGGGCAAGTGTTAAAATCGATGAACGAAAATAATCAACGTTCCAATTCCAATAATTAATTATGCATGGCGTGAAAAAAATTTTTTCACTTTTAACAATGCAATCAGCTGATCGATTGAACTAAACTAAATACTATTTGGGAGCCCGCTGGCGGTATCTAAGACTACCATTAATTATCGGAGTGCCAATAAAAGATGTAAAAAAGAGTAAGAAGAAGAGAGGAAAATAAACAAGAAGAAATGATAGATGTTAACAGAGAATTTTTGGGATGGAATGATAGATATCCTACAACGGAACAAACGAGTGACTGTCCCGCCTGGCGACTGCCAGTGAACTCATCGTCAAAGAGACCGTAAAATTTGTCAAAAAGTTACTTAAAAGACCGTCTTCCCAAGATGACATTTTACACGGACATAAGACAGTTTTTTCAATATATAAAATGACTCGAAATTGAGCTCCTTTTGGGCAAGCTTGTCGGTTCCATTTACTCTACACTAGATATTCCCAAGTGTTCAAAAAAATTGTGGAGAATAATTGATGCCCACGTGATATCCACGGAACCGTGCACTGCAATGAGGGTAAAGAGCTTCTTGCATTTTGCTATAGAAGGAATAGCCGGATACCTACATTGTACCGAAATTCCCAATTGCTCATGCCCCCCCACCACTCAAATCGAGTTGAATTCTTCGGCAGAAATCAGCACTTATATCAATGGATTGAACGACGTTGACAAAAGATTAGAGGCTATTGGACGATTAAAGTCCATTGCTCCGATTAGAAATGGTAATTAGCGAGAGAAATAATCAAGCAACGAAGTCGGTCACTACAATTTATTTTCGTTCAGATGGCGAATATAATCTTAAAGCTGCTGGCGCCGAGTACCAGGAGAACGATGCAGAACATCTTATCTCAGTCCAGAGCAACTCATAATGCTGGTGAGATACAAAAATCGACACAATGATTATTGTTTGTTATTGACCTGTCATGTATCATTCTAGTTGGTAACAAAAGAGCGGAGGGAAGTCATCCAGAGGCACATGACGATGTTCTCTTCGAAGAGGTACTCTAGCTGTAGTCGATTCAGTAGTGAAGTGGTAAAACGTAACAGAACAGAACAAATCAAATTTTCACGTCTTGTTGAATATCGAAATATCTAGGTAATCAGGGATTTCAGAGGTGAATTTCAAGAGACATTTTTTTGGAAATTTATTCAGCTACAAAAAATGTCTTATACGATGAAAATTTCACTCATTCTGTTACGTCTCATCACTTTATCATCGAGATATTCTAGTGACAAAAATAACGGCAAATAATGTGCTCAGATCGGTGAGAGCGGACTGATAACCTTGAACCGTCCAAAAGCCCTGAACGCCTTGAACCTCTCAATGGTGAACAAAATCCACCCTGTCCTGAAACAATGGGAATCATCGAAGAATCTGGTTGTAGTGAGAGGTAATGCGCAGGCTTTCTGTGCTGGGGCGGACGTCAAGTTCTACTTAGGGTCCATCAACGATGCTGAACCTCGAGAAGGAACCTATGAATTCATACGAAACGAGTACGAACTCATGTACATCATTCGTTCGTTTGAGAAGCCTTACGTGGCTCTGATCCATGGGATAACTATGGGAGCTGGTGTTGGTCTCTCGATTCATGGTAAATATTCCATTGCCACTGAGAAAACTGTCTACGCAATGCCAGAGACTGCGATAGGATTTTATCCCGATGTTGGTGGCACGTATTTTCTTCCTCGTTTGCGTGGACAACTGGGATTCTATTTGGGACTCACTGGGCGCAGGTTGAAGGGAGTTGATGTCAAACTCGCTGGCATTGCCACACATTACGTTCAGTCCTCTAAACTCGAAGAATTGACTGATGCTCTACTCAAGTCTGGTGGCAAAGATCTGGAGAAAATTCTCGACAATTTTGAGGATAAAACTCCAGCTGAATTCACTTTAGCTAAATATTCAGATAAAATTGATGAATACTTCTCGGCGGGCACTGTCGAGGAAATAGTCGACAGACTGAAGGAGGATAAGAGCGAATGGGCCCAGGGGGTCATCGATAATCTCAGTAAAATGTCGCCAACTTCACTAAAGTTGACCCTCAAGGCATTCCAGAGAGGAAGAGAGATGAGTTTGCTTGAGTGTCTGAGGATGGAGAACAGGATGACCTGTGCTGTTTACAGAAAAGATAGTGACTTTCACAGGGGTGTCAGGGCCCATCTGATCGATAGAGACGGCAAACCCGGGTGGAATCCTGGGAGCCTTGAGCAAGTTCGGGATGATTACATCGAGGAAATGTTTAAATCTATACCGGCGTGTAGAGACTTGAGAGTTCGGCCGAAACAAGCCTAACAGAACATGATAATTAATTCTTCACCTCGGCTGAACTCAAAACCCTGGACCCATCTGATGATTGAAAAGTAGCACTAGAGTGATTTCGGTATTTGATTTTGTTGATTTTACTTTACATTTTTCGGGTAATGCATTAATTACTTTCATCTTTGATAGTTACTGAGGGGTGGGAAACAAAATGTAACTACCTAAGAGGGTATACGTGTGACTGAATAAATAAAAATGAATCAATTCTTCACGTATGTGTTATGAAGAAAGAAGATGAGCAGACATGAGCGAGATTGATTTGAAAGGTTTTATTTTTTTACATTATTTAACTTTCCAGTACCGCATACCTTTTGGTTTCTTACGGATTTCAATTTTCCAGCAGCATATTACCTGATTCCTAATCCTTCTTCCAGCTCTCGAAAAATTAGAACCTTTCCAGAGGTGTTCCCCGGGGTCAACCATCCTTCTAGTGACCACGCTCAAGCGTGGCTTGGCTTTCGAAAGCTAAACCGGCCCACCAACGCCGTGCGCTGGCCCCGTAGGGATTAAAAAGATTTTATTAACTGTGCATTTTGTTGTACAAAAGACACTGAAGACTATTAAGTGGTCAAGCGACAATGATATTGTGACAAGTAAAAGAAAAGGTCCCAGTGGACGCTGCTCTCAATAATGACAAGAACAGTGTAATATTTTTGTGGCGCAAGCCACCAACGAATTATGTATTATTTCGAAATTCACATAACGCGTCTCGAATATTCTATATCGTCGTATTCGAGACAGACATCATTCTATCCTTGTCCCTCACGAAATTTTTGGATAATTCTCGAACCTTCCATAACACAAGGTATTTAAACCCGGGCGCTCCCGGCCAGATAGATCAGTCGAACTCAGTTCAATTCTCAAACTCGATGTAAACACATCTAACGTGTTAAATGCAACATCTTTATTCGGCTAAACCACGAGTTATTCTTCAATGTACACCTATAACAGCCAGATTTTATAATAAAATATTATAATATTTCATTATTTTATAATGTTAATGCTTATTTAACTATTTTTTATAATATTTTATAATAAAATATTATAGTTCATTGGCACATTTGAAGAGAAAGCGCAATGTTATCATTAAATTTGTAAATAGCTAGGGAGAGAGAGAGAGAGAGAGAGAGAGAGAGAGAGAGAGAGAGAGAGGGATAGGTTCGAGGGAAATAGAGTTAGAAATGGAAGAATGGAGGTGTGTGATATATACATGTAACTCGTAGGGGACTCATTAAGAAATACAAACGGATATATATCCCTCTACCGACCGAGCCAATCTACCCCTCCCCCCAAAAGACGATAATCATCATAAGTGATTGGCAATAATTACATATTCCCAAGTATACGAAAAAATTATGGAGAATGATTGGTTTCTACCACGTGATACCGACGTAAATAGGCGTTACAAGGAGGGTATATCCACAGGTTCAACGACATTGACGAGAGACTAGAAGCTGTTGAACGGTTAAAGTTGATCGCTCCGATTAGAAATGGTAATTAGCGAGAGAAATAATCAAGCAACGAAGTCACTTACTAGAATTTATTTTCGATCAGATGGAGAATATAACCTTAAAGCTGCTGGTGCCGAGTACCAGGAGAACGATGCAGAACATCTTATCGCGGTCCATAGCAACTCATAATGCTGGTGAGATGCAAAAATCGACACAATGATCATTGTTTGTTATTGACCTGTCATGTATCATTCTAGTTGGTAACAAAAGAGCGGAGGGAAGTCATCCAGAGGCACATGACGATGTTCTCTTCGAAGAGGTACTCTAGCTGCAGTCGATTCAGTACTGGAGTGGCAAAACGTAACAGAACAAGTCAATTTTCCACGTCTTGTTGAATATCGAAACATCTAGGTAATCAGTGATTTCAGAGGCAAATTTCGAGAGACATTTTTTTAGAAATTTATCCAGCTGCAAAAAATGTCTCCTAAGATGAAAATTCCACTCATTCTGTTACGCTTCATCACTTCATCATTGAGATATTCTACTGACGAAAATAACAATGTCCAAAAAACCCCTACCTCCTCAGCCATTAACGGCCATAACAGCAATTTTAATTAGAATTGAAAAAGAAAAGAATCGTAAGAGAAAAAATCTTCACAAAGTGTTTTTCATCAGGGCATTATTTACTCTCTATTTATCAACCCATCAGTTCTTCAAAGGTTGCGACAAAAATATCTCAAACCAAAGAAATCTCAAAATTTGAAAAAGCACAATAGTAAACAGACACCTGTTGGAGCCCTTCATAACTGTCAACAGCAAATTACAAATGAAAATAACAATGCGAATAATGTCCTCAGGTCGGTGAGAGTGGGCTGATAACCTTGAATCGCCCAAAAGCCCTGAATGCCTTAAACCTCTCAATGGTGAGGAAAATCCACCCTGTCCTGAAAAAGTGGGAATCATCGAAGAATATGGTTGTGATAAGGGGGAGTGGAGATAAGGCGTTCTGCGCCGGAGGTGACGTCAAGTCCCTTGTACTGTCCCTCAACGAGTCCTGGGGTAGAGCGTCCAGTTGCGAGTTCTTCCGAGAGGAGTATGCACTCGACTACCTCATTGGATCGTTCAAGAAGCCTTATGTGGCTCTCATCCACGGGATAACCATGGGCGGTGGTGTTGGTCTCTCGGTTCATGGTAAATATCGCGTTGCCACTGAGAAAACTGTCTACGCGATGCCAGAGACTGCGATAGGACTGTATCCCGATGTTGGGGGTACCTATTTTCTTCCTCGTTTGCGTGGACAACTGGGATTCTATTTGGGACTCACTGGGCACAGGTTGAAGGGAGTCGATGTTAAACTCGCTGGCATTGCCACGCACTACGTTCAGTCCTCCAAACTCGAAGAATTAACTGATGCTCTACTCAAGTCTGGTGGCAAAGACCTGGAGAAAATTCTCGCCAATTTTGAGGATAAAACTCCAGCTGAATTCACTTTAGCTAAATATTCAGATAAAATTGATGAATACTTCTCGGCGGGCACTGTCGAGGAAATAGTCGACAGACTGAAGGAGGATAAGAGCGAATGGGCCCAGGGGGTCATCGATAATCTCAGTAAAATGTCGCCAACTTCACTGAAGTTGACCCTCAAGGCATTGCAGAGAGGAAGGGGGATGAATTTGCTTGAGTGTCTGAGGGTAGAGAACAGACTGTCCAATGCTGCTTCCAGAAGAGATGGCGATTTTTACGAGGGTGTCAGGGCTCTTCTGATCGATAAAGACGGTAAACCCAGGTGGAATCCTGCGAGTCTTGAGCAAGTCACGGATGATTACGTCGAGAACATGTTTAAATCGTTACCTGCTGATGAAGAACTGAGAGTACCAGAGTGATAAATGGGGGGAGAAATAACTAGCAAAGTGGTGAAACGTAACTGGATACGATAATTAATTCTTCACAAATTGTTAAATGGAATTATTTTGGGGATGTATTATTTTTAAACAATATTTTTCTTCAATACGAACAATATCTACCTTCTTCAGCTTCAAAGACATGCCTTCAGGTGCTATTGACGTCTGTAAAGCGAGCGGAACACGTGGACGGAAATGACCAGACACTAACTAACCCAAATAAGTGAAAATCGATACCAGAACAGAATTAATGACGAATGTCAATGATTACTCGCAAAGTTACTGACGATAACTCATTCATTCATGAAGAAAAATCCCAAACACACAATAAAGGGGAATAATAATCGTACTTGCACACTTGTTTGTTCATTTATCAAAATGTTTTTTCCTGTTTATTTCTCAAACCGTTTTGCATTCATTTTCGTATCAATATCATTTTGTTCTTCTTCCTCGTGGCTTCTCAATAAATCGTTTAATCAATTAAAATGACAAATCTTTTCAGCACAAACATCAGATTTGATTTCGAATTAAATACAATGACGTCTGATATCAATGCCTGAATAAATTTCACTGATGAAAAATAATTGTAACAATAAGGTACCAATTTCGTCGTAATCGATTACATTGGTGGTTGATTTTTTTTTCATTTGTTTCTTCCTGTTTTGACGAGGAGGAGGATTTAATTGTATTTACGTGCGTGTTCAGTCAATGTACTGGGCGAGCCAACGGAAGCCCTCGCCATATCCCTGTCTCTTCAACACTGAGCACATGAAGAGCTCCAGTGGACGACCGGGAATATCACTTCTGGGGACTTTACCCTGAAAATAATTCGCATTAATTCATTTGACAGGAATTAAAATTCATTAAAGTTATGGACATAACTTATTAAATTACAAAAATGAAAAAAATTCCTTCTGAAGGAAAAATAAAAAGAACAAATGTTTATTTAAAGTCATCAAGTCACATTAATTGTCAAGAAATTAACAGCGAATCTAATCATTCTCATTTGACATGTTAGAGGAAAGACATACCTTGCCAGTCGTCTGGCCATAGAGATTGAAGTGATTCATGAGGTCTTGTTCCGATGCTGCGCCAGGCTTGTCGATTTTATTGCCTAATACAAGTACTGGACATGAGCTGAGTTGCTCGTCAGTGAGGAGAGCTTTGAGTTCAACCTTGGCCTCTAGTAGTCGTGTAGTGTCACTCGCGTCTACCAGGAATACAATAGCGTCTACTGCGGGAAAGTAGTCCTTCCATACTCTACGTGCTACAATTGAACAAATGCATCATTAATTTTTTTAGGGGCTAATGGTGGGAAGGGTTAAATGACATGTGAGCTCAAGGGTCAAATGATCCCTGAACTGCTAAATAACCATTTTTCTTGAATTTGAAGTTCAAATTGTCAATTAAATTGTAAATGAAAACAATAAAAAAAACTGTTCCCTAAATTTTGCTAAAATTCCAGTATCAAAACAAGAAAAAATGATTTTATATTTTTTTACCCTGCGTATGGCCTCCAAGATCGAACGTCGTGAAGCGAATATTTCCAATGGATAGTTCTTCAGACGCTGAAATGACAAAAACAGATTAACCACTTATTAAAACCCCAGCGAACGTGTAAATATGCATCGATTAATTTGAGAAAAAATACAAGCAGAGATCAAAACTATGAATTATGAGAATTAATTACTCGGATGCAACGTGGGTACGTGTTGAGCCAGCCGGTCGTCCTTGAGCATGTGAAGTAGTGTTGTCTTTCCGGCATTGTCCAGGCCGAGAAACAGCAGCTTACCACCCTTTTTCCATAGGCCTGAAAGCGGAATCACGTGCATAAAACGGTCTATTACTCCATTATTCATTGTTGTATGGGGGAACGAGATAAATCAATTTCAGGGGTCATTGTATGAGAAATACCTCGGGGAAATTGAATGCAAAAAGCTAAGTTTTTGAGAAAAGTGAAAACTACAAAAATGATTTAAAAAAAAAGGAGATTTAAAGATCTTTTGCGAAAGCTCAGTTTGAAGCTGAGTATTGAGTATGAATTGAAGGGAATTAGTTTTCGGGAAAGATCTCCAGATTGAAATTCCAAAATATTCATAGAATTTACGAGAATATGAAAATCCAATCAAAAATATTAGATACGTATTTTTTATTTCGATGAATAGTGACAAATCAAAGAGTTACAGGAAATTAAGAGTCTGGAGTACAATCTCACAATGCATTCGTTTCCTCAATTTTCTATTTTAATTTTGCATGATGAAAAAAATTACGCGTCTGACATTTTCCATCTAATTTTGATATTCAATCATTTTATGCTAAGAAAATCCGTGCATTAACCCAATTGGAATTGTTTTTTTAATTATTCAAATGTACCTGGAGTTACAAAAATCCTCGTTTCCCTACAAACGAGGATTTTATTGTATGACACTCATCTGTTCAAAGGAGATTTAAAGATCTTTGGTGAAAGGTCATTTTGAAGCTAAGTATTGAGTATAAATTGAAGTGAATTAGTTTTCAGGAAAGATCTCAAGATTGAAATTCTAAAGTATTCACAGAATGAATGAGAATATGAAAATCCAATCAAAATTTCTATTTCGACGACTAATTACAAATCAATGAGGATAATGCAGGAAATTAAAAGTGTCTGGATTACAACGTCGCAATGCATTCGTTCCCTCAATTTTCTATTTTAATTTTGCATGATGATAGAAATTACGCACCTGACATTTTCCATCGAATTTTCCTATTCAATCATTTTATTCTAAAAAAAATTCATGCAATAACCCAACGGGAATTGTTTTTAAAATTATTTGCATATCCCTGGAGTTGAAAAAAGCTTCGTTTCCCCACAACCCCTTGAAATAAAGAATAAAACTTACCTAAATAGCCGAGTACTCCTGAGAACCAGTCCCAGAGGAACATGTTTCACTAATTCCCAGCCCAAAACATGTAAAAAAAAACAAAAACAAAAACAAATAGAGTGATTACACTTCAACTGGAGTGACTCTGCAGAACAAAGTGCAGAAAAAGAAATCCGTCGCGTCACAGGCAATTGAACATTCATGTGATCATTGACAAGAACAATGGTTGATGACTGTCTAGTGTGTGGATAACCTTGACGTGCGTCAAGATGCTTCCACAGTGACCCGAAGTCCTCCTCATATGTTCATTATAAACCGATAAATATCGTCCCAAGATGATGAGGATTGCACTGATGAGGCCCTCGTGAAATACTAAAAACTATAAATCTTATAGCAACAATTGACAATTCACCAACAGCTGTATAGGACGCTGTGATGACCCTCGGGAGCCACCGAGACCGAAAACTAAAGTCCAAAAATAACTGGCTCAAAGTTATCTGGCAATCGCTAATAAAAAAAATGCGAAAATGAGTAAAAAATCTCCGTTATGTCTTGAGAGGTGGCGCACACGTTGGATTTTTCGTTGTGCTGGCAGCCAAATGTCGACTTACCCGATATTTTACGAAGATTTATAATCAAGTGGTGCGGGTGAAGCTTCCGGGGGCGACTGAGACGTTGCAATCGCTTCGGCACTCAATTCATTAATTAAAAATTAAAAAAATAACTGAGTTTTGGGGGAGATTGTGGTCTCACAACTCGCGCGATCTCGTTTGACACAACCAGGCAACCACACCACTTGGGTGGAGGGGGAAGGGGGAGGGGGACAGCTGCGGATTAGATTCGTACGGGTGGTAGTTGGCACTGGTGACGTCTACTTCCGGGTGCCATTGGGAGAGAGGAGAGCGGCGGATGGGACGACAGGCGCGGGAACGTTTTAATGGGGGTTTTGTTAAGGAATTGGGGATGTTTAGTGTTTTTTTGAAAATTCGGTTTGTGGAGATAATTTTGCGGTCTTTAAGAATTTTTTGTTCATTGCGAGGGGATTATTAACTCCGGAGAAAATTTCATATTTTAGGGATTTTGAAATATTTATGTGGGATTCTCAAGACTTCTATGCACCAAAAACTTTCTTTATTGCCCGTTTTTCAATAGAAAATGTCTAATAGAAACTATTTTATTTAAAAAATCAGTAGATTTTCATCTTTCTAGACAACTTTTTCTGTAGGAATTCCTCGACATGAATTCTCTGAGTTTTTTCACTCAATTTTTCTTCACTTTTCATTAAAAAATCGAAAATTCCCAATAAAAATTATTTTATAGAAAAAATCAGTAGATTTCTATTTTGTTGTACAACTTTTCCTGTAGGAATTTCTCGACGTGAATTCTCTAAGGTTTTTCCACTCAATTTTTCTTCTTTCGATTAAAAAATCACATAACAATATTTGGAAAATTCAATAGAATCAGCCGAAAACTAGTCAAACGCGTGTGTGTGAGGAGACACTCTTGTTGAGTACCGGAATATGGTGGAAGATTATTTCGAATGTTGGGGAAGTTTGTTGGTCGCAATAGTAATGATGGAACTGTCAGACTAAGCCATCACTATTCATTGAAATAGTGAATTAAATTATTGAGAGAATATTTGGAACAGTGGAATGTACGAGATCCCCGTGGAATTTATCTGAGACCACTCAATCGTTTCAATTGGATGCACGTAACATAGACTTGAGGTTAAGTTGGACTCAGGTAAACATTCATCAAGATCATTGTTATTTACCCATTTTTTTTGTCAATGAATTAGAAAACGTACGAAAACCAAAATAGAGGAAAATAAACTTTTTCGAATTTTTAATATTTTCTGAACGAGTAATTAAATCGTTTTTTTTTCTTATTTTGAAACATGGCAAAAGTGCGTGAAAATGGCGTAAAGTTCTGCAAATTCCACTCTTCGAATCTCAAGACATTAAAAATTGAAAAATTGTATATTTTTCCTCATTTGTTTCCTGTCGATTTTCTGGTCAATTTGCCCTAAAAAATGTCTGTTGACATTTTTAAAAGGACCTAGTTTGCAACACTTGACATTATCTATTATTTCAGTAGAAATTCAAGAATATATTCACTAGAATTTTCCTGAAACAATTAGGCTAAAATTTCCATCTCTATTGATTTTCTATTTTGATTTTCTCCATCAAATTGTGAATTTTCAATGAAAAAATTCCTTGAAATTCCAATTTCACCTGAAATTGCTATCACAAGGTCGTAAATTCCCTCAGGAATTGAATGAAATTGGATTCAAGGCGCTAGCTCTTTTAGTTTTCGAGAAATCCTTAACAAATTAAAAGAAAATGGCTAAAAGTTAATGAAATATGGACTTCAGCTAACAATTAATATGGATTTGAGCTAAAAACTCATGTGTATTTTACTCAAAAACCGACCTGCCGTTTTTTCCCTCAATAAACTGTGCCAGTAAAATATTTTACCCGGTTAGCATCACTCCCCAAATATTAAATGCAATTGGATTCAAGACGCTAGCTCCCTTAGTTTTCGAGAAATTCTCAAAAAACTGAAATAAAATAGCTAAAAGTTAATGTGGCTATTAATTTAAAATTAATATGGATTCGAGCTAAAAATTCAAGTGCATTTTACTCAAAAACTGACCTGCCATATTCTCCCCCAATAAACTGTGACAGTAAAATATTTTACCCGGTCGACATTTCTCCCCAAATACTGAAATACTCGAAACAAAAAACAAATTGACATGCATAGAACTCGAAATTGAATCCAAACTGCACCTCAACAGCACTGCAATGAAATTTCCCTAAAAGTTTAACATGAATCCCACAAAATTTTCCATCAAATTCGCTAGGTTTGTCCCTGAAATTTTTTCGTACGCGACTAAACCCCCGATTTCCCTCCACCCCCAGAAATGCCGAGGGTGAACACAGACCCGACGAAGAAACGCAAGAGATACCCCCGCCAAAAGCTGCTGGAGGCCCTGGAGGCAGTGAAATGCGGTCGTTCCCTGCGGGAGGTGAGTATCGAGTACGGGGTGCCGAAGACAACCCTCATGTCCAAGTACAAGGGAACACACCCGATCGACGGTAAATCGGGTCCACCCCCGGTCCTCGACGAGAACGAAGAGCGCGAGCTAGTGGACTGGGTGAACGAGACATCGGACCTGGGTTTCGCCCTGAAGAAGAACCAGATGTGCGGCAGTGTCCAGACAACCCTGAGAGAGCTCAAACGAAAGAACATATTCTCAGACGACAAGCCGGGGCACAACTGGTACAAGAACTTCGAGGAGCGTCACACGGAGATAATCGAGAGGTTCAAGAAGAATTTGTCTTACGCGAAGACAGCGCCATCGGAGGCGTCAGTTCGCGATTGGTTCGCGCACATAAAGAAGTACCTGGAGACAAACGAACTGTTCACCATCGACCCCTCGAGGATCTTCACGAGTGAGGAGGCAGCCCTGATCTTCAACCCAATAGGCAAGAAGATACTCGTGAGGAAAGGCGACCGAACGGACTTCAGTTTCGCTCACAATCACGTCGACGAGTGTGCAACGAGTCTCTTCACAGCTAACGCCGCTGGCACCCTGGCGCCTCCAATGATAGTCTTCAAGCAGGAGAGGATTCGCCCTGGGATGCTGACGAAATTGCCGGAGGGCTGGACGATTGGGAAGACGAGCGACGGCTGGATGACCAAGGAGAGCTTTCACGAGTACCTCACCAAGGTCTTCGACAAGTGGCTGAAGAGAAACGGAATTGAGAAGCCAGTGGTTCTCTTCATCGACTCCAACACTGCCTTCATGACGCAGTCGTTGAGCAAATTTTGTAAGAGCAATAAGATTCATCTGCTGCCAGTGCACCCGAATATGGGGCACATTCTGCAGCCTTTGGACGCTCAGTTCTTCGGGGATCTCAAGGAGGCCTGGCTGATGGCCACTGAACACTGGAGGATGAACAACAACAGGAAGAGAATAAAGAAGGAGAACTTTGCTCCTCTGTTGTTCAATGCTCTGAAGATGGTGGACTGTGGAAAAACTGTGTCAGAGGGGTTCAAGTCCTGTGGAATTCACCCATTCTCACCGGATTCCGTTAACTACGGGAGGAAGGGAAGGTTCAAGATGCAGGTGATCGTCAAGCCGAAGGAGAGCGAGGAGGTGGAGGACCTGGGGAGGATTATTGATCCTCAGTACAGTGCGGAGGACGTCAGAAAGCATCTCGAGTTCTTTGAGGATTTCATCGATGATGAGAAGCTGAAGAAGTTCAAGGAGGAGGAGAATGCTGACGCCTGGGGGGGAGAAGTCAAGGACACAGCCTTGTTCTTGTTGTGGAAGAAATTGAGGAGGATGAGTAGTAATGGAGTTAGTGACTGTGAGATTTATACCTCGGCGATGGAGGCTGGAGCTAGTCAGGGACATTTTATGAGCATTGATGATGAGCATTATCAGGAGGGCAATCTCGTTATCCAGGGTGTGCAGGGGAACTATGAAGTGGGGAATTTGAGGACGTGGATTGGAAACAATCTTGAGAAGCTTCAATGAGCTTGCGGGAGGGGGTCAGAGATGTTGTATATTTTTCATTCCAAGGACTTCAGACATCATTTTCTTTCAGAGTTGCGACGCCCGAAATTGTTTAAATTAGTGTGTAATAGAATAGAATTCTAGGTGTAAGACTATTGTAACATTTTTGTATTAAATAAAATTTATGGAATATTTGTTCTGTATTTGAAAAAAATGGACCAGGACGTCTATTGATATCAGATAGGTAGATAGATAGATAGATAAAAATGCTTCTCATCCAATCCTGGAAGGAAGATCCCTCAAGGGAAAACCAAAATATAACATAATTATTACGAACGAATCTTATGAATCAATCACATTATTCTAACAGTAACAAAACAGATAAAAGCATGAAATTATCAAAAGAGACTTGATAACTACACACAATAAAGCAAAAAATCAAGCAATAAGAGGGCTGAATAGGGAAGATCGAATATAAAAATCCATAATTCTTTTGTCCATCAGAATAATAAATATTTATGCTGTTAACATCAAGTACTACAGTCGATCATCTAGATCTCTCGTGTTACCCCAGGTCTCCCATCTGCTTGGAAAAATTTCAACAAGTGGGAAAAAAATCTCATCAGTACTGTGCCCGATCTCGCACTCGCTGCCATTCGTCATTACGACAACGTCAATATTCCTGTGCACGAAAATCGAAACTCAATGGACTATTCGAATTTTTAACCCGTTTTTCTGAATTAATAAAGGGGTTTTATAAATTGTTGGAGAGTGCTTGTGGTGCCTGTGTCGAGCCTCTGGAATGTCCTGGGGCTTCCATTTTCCCAATTACACAATTCTGGGGGTTTTAATAACGAAATTAGGAGGGTGATAATCCGGTGTGACAATTCGATGGAAAATGTTGAATTTTTCGTTGTCGAAATAATGGAATAAAATCGTGGAGAATGGGGGATTTTCACGGTTTTTCGAAATTTAGTTCAGGCAATTCGTAAATTATTCATTGATTTTGTTCATCCTTACTGGCGAGGCTCGACTCTCGTGAAAAATGTTTTCAATTTGAAAATCGAAATTTCGAATTTGATCGGGTGAGGGTTATTCTAGTAGACATGGTGCATCGAATACTGAGACGTATTGTTCTATCGAACATATCAAACTGCGGCCCGAAATTCGTGGGGGTACTGGCACCTCTGGTCGTACCTCCTCTTCATATTTTATTTCTTTATTATTTTTGGAGAGAGTACTCGAGAGATGTGGACAAGCAGTACTGCTCGTGCTCTTGCTGGGATACTGTATTCAAAGGTGATAAAATTGTCGTGAAGATATTCGACAGCTGAAAATGTTACATTTCTTTAAAGTTGATTTTTTTTTTATTTTTCGATGAAAGAGATGAATCATTAATTTAATTCTCTACCGAATTTTTATTGGTGAAATTGCCACAGAGGAATTTTTTTTCGAGATGATGAGATGATCATAGCTCAACAATTTTAGAAACAAGAATATTTATTCCTTATTTGGGACTAGTTCTTTGGAAATATCTCTGAATCCAAAGAAGATGGAGAAATTTTCCTCTGAAACTTTTTATAGCTGATGAAATTGTCTACAAAAATGTCTTGTGACATTTTCATGTAAAACTACTCATTATTACGATAATCAGATGTTTAATCAGACGTAGAAAATCAACTCTCGCTTCATTCACCGATATTATTTTGAATCCAGAGGAGTTTTTTCGAGATGATTGAACAATTCATAATTCAACAATTTTAGAAACGAGAGTATTTATTCCTTATTTGGGACTAGTTCTTTGGAAATATCTCTGAATCCAAAGAAGATAGAGAAATTTTCCTCTGAAACTTTTTATAGCTGATGAAATTGTCTACAAAAATGTCTTGTGACATTTTCATGTAAAACTACTCATTATTACGATAATCAGATGTTTAATGAGACGTAGAAAATCAACTCTCGTTTCATTGATCGATATTATTTTGAATCCAGAGGAGTTTTTTCGAGATGATTGAACAATTTATAATTCAACAATTTTAGAAACGAGAGTAGTTATTCCTTATTTGGAATTAGTTCTTTGGAGATATCTCTGAATCCAAAGAAAATAGAGAAATTTTCCTCTGAAACTTTTTATAGCTGATGAAATTGTCTACAAAAAAGTCTTGTGACATTTTCATGTAAAACTAGTCATTATTACGACAATCAGATCTTTAATGAGATGTAGAAAATCAACTCTCACTACATTCATGGATATTATTTTCAATCCAGAGGAGTTTTTTCGAAATAATAGAACAATTCATTACTTTATAATTTTGCTATCGCTTACTTCCTCCTTCACCCCCCCCCCCCCNTCATTACTTTATAATTTTGCTATCGCTTACTTCCTCCTTCACCCCCCCCCCAATTATAATTATAATTATCGCAATAACAGGTTCCTACGAGTCAGGAGTTGCTTCCTACAAGCACATGTACTTCAACGCGACCCCCAACAGCTTGAAAATATGGGCAACAATAGTGATAGGAGTGGTGGCATTCTACGAAACAGCAAAGTACCTAGCCTGGCTGGCTTTCCAGCGTCGTTTGAGACTAGGAATGCTGGTTCTCTTTATCAGTGCGATATTCTCGCACTACTACTCCTGGTGGGTTTACATAAACTACTGGAACGATGACTTCTACTCCCAGTGGTACCACCAAATGTTCTTCTCCATTACCGAGCTTATATCCACGGTATTGGTGGTGCTTCTAGCTGACAGCAAGAGCCCAGTCACTGGGAAGAAATCTGTGGTCATCAGTGGCATTGGAATGGTCCATATTTTTGCGGGGAGCTGGGATCAGTTCGTCACTAATGTACTGAGGGGCGAGGGTTACGCTCATCAGGTAAAAATGAAATAACGAAACGTTTGATGAACAAAATTCTAAATACCGAATTATCTCGGTAATGGATGATTTTAGGAGAAAATCTGATAAGACATTTTTTGAAGGAAATTTTCTCCGCTACAAAAAATGTTCTTATCGATTTTTCTCTGAACCTAGTAGTTTCGAAGATATTTGCGATTCAAGAGAATGCAGTTTTTACACTCACGCATTTTTCTCATTTTGGCTAAAAAAATTAATTCTCTACCGAATACTTTTTGAATTAAATTGATTAAAATTTTCTTTTAGGTAATTCGTGATCTAGGGTTCATGATTCCCGATATTCTCCACGTTCTAATCCCTCTGTTCTCCCTACGATGGCACAACGATGAGTTACTCCCCGGAGCTGGACTGAAAATTCGTAAAATAAAACGCGAGGTGACCTGTATGATTGGACTAATCCTCGTGGGTCTCGGTATGTGCGCTGTCCTTTGATCCTGATTCAACCATTAATCAAAGTGTTTTTACCAATTTTATCAAAGAAAACCATCTTGTTGGACGAACAAATTATTTTCATATTAAATCGTAAGCGAAGACTCCCGTATTGAAAGGTATTTTTAGAAGTATTTTCACGAATTCCATCGGTCTTCTTTGCATTGTTATTGCAATTCATTTTTTTTCTCGTTCAATTTTCCGAGAATATGTCCTATCTATAGATAAATCTACTGATTATTCGTCGGCCTATTAATGAGACTGCATTGAGTTTTTTTCGGTAGATTTAATTTTTTCTTTTTTAAAACTCAAATCAGTAGTGAAGCAGCAAATTAAAGATGAATTATTTTTTGAAATTGAGGGAAGACGGCAAAATTTTTGTGAAGATTTTTATGTCATTGTTTATTAATGAGTTAATTTTACTTCAATTAATAATGAACAAAATCAATGGATTTCAATGACATTTTATTCTGCTAAAATATTTTCTACAGAAATTCCTCAACTCGAGTTTTTTCACTGCATTTGTTTCCTCATTAAAAAAATCGAAGAAAAGCTACAAAATTCAGGAGGAGAATACCACTAGAAAATATCTAATCGAAAAAGTTATCTAAAAAAATTTCTCCGAAACTAAACTTGAAAGGAAGTTGACGTAGGCTATTTTGCTGCATCACTACTGAAATAATTGTAAAAAGTATCAAAAGTATTTAATAATGATTACGAAAAATTCATGAAGAGACTGTGAGATACAATTTATTTATATTTCAAACGTTGACTGTGTTTAAACCATTGTTAAATTATAGTAGTAATAATTAAAAATCAAGACCCCCAATAATCTCATGTTTACCAAAAAACTAGAAATTTATGTGTTCCAAAACTAGAAAATCGCTTCATTATGTAATAGCTAGAATAACGAATGACGGAGAGTGATTGATCCCGAGGGGACGGTATGAATAAGAGTGTTTAGTGACAATAGAGAGAATGTAGAGAAATTTAGTCATTTGAAAGAACTATTGCTCTAGATTTCGAAGTGCCTGAATGTGTAACGAATGTATTTGTATCGATTTAATACCTGCGAGTAGTCGTCAGCCATCACAAGCATTTGTTTGATTACTTATAGTTATTATTTAGTAAATCCTGAGCATTGATTTTTATACAGGGACTGTTTTATACAAATGATGATGTTTTTTGCCAAGAGATGTCGAGTGATCGACGAATTATTGTAATTGTTTTTGTTGTTTTCGAGTGACTAGGCTTTGGATTGTGAGTTTAAGAGCTAAGTAAATGTCAATTAATGAAATTCAAAAGTTTCGATAGAAATAAACAACCAAAGAATCAAGAAGTGGAGTTTATTCATTGATTATTTTTAGAGTTCTAGTTTTTCTGACATCCGGAAAAACGAATCTTTAGCACAATTTGAGGATTTTTTTAAAATGAGGGTCAAATGGTTTTGGAGGTCAAGCAACCCTTGCGGATATTTTCAGTCAAGAGTCAAATGGTGTTGAGGGTCGTTTGACCCTCAACTCTGAGAAAAAACACAGTTCAGCACAATTCAGGAGAATTTTTGCTATTTTTTGTTGCGGGTCAAATGATCCTAAGGGTCATTTGACCCTTACCCCTACTCATTTTCAAGAATCGCTTGCCCCTCAAGAGAATTTTGACCCTCAACTCCAAAGAAAAACAACTATTTTGTACAGTTTTGAAAGCTTTTTTTATTTCTAACTGCGGGTCAAATGATTTTGAAGGTCAGACAATCCTTCGCCCTTCAAATGACCCTTAAGACAATTTGACCCTCAACTAAAAACGAAAAAGACTCATAAAAAAAACAAAATATATAGTTAATATATAATATTAATAAAATTTCCCCCGCAAAAAAGCTCTCGAGACAGACGTCTCTCCGCCCAAAATAATCGCGTACTTTCCAAACCCATAAATTCCAATTGTTCGCCAGTACTTCAATGCAATACAGAATTTATTCATCGATACCTGTTATGAAGTAAAAAAAGAAGTGCTGCAAAAATACTTCTGGGCAATGGGGGGTAAATACCCCCGGTGAAGTGAAGATAAAGCGCATGCTCGAAATCGATCCTTCACCCCCCGCCACCAGAATTTCATACTGACAAATGCATTTGGCAAATGCCCTGATCGTAAGTACAACCCCCGGACGACGACACGGAGGCGGCCCAACAACAGTTCAAAATCATCACAGGGCAAAGCAACATGGCGCTTGATTTTGCTGCTACTTACAAAGTACTTGTGCTGGGGGATTCCAATGTGGGAAAGACGTGCATTGTTCATCGATACTGCGATGAACGTTACTATGACACTTATATATCTACCATTGGTGAGTCACGGAGTTTCTTCGCGACTTCATACGAAAAATTAATTATTAATAATTCTGTTATTAATTGGAAGTCATTTAGTTGACGATTTTTTTTAATTTTAAGGGGTTTCGGTTTCTTAAGGCTTAGATGAGGGCGGGGGAGGGGTAAGGGGGTGTTTTGGTAATGTTTCTTTGTCTCCAGGCATTGACTTCAAGCAGAAGATCATAAATCTAGATGGCACACCGATCAAACTGCAAATTTGGTGAGTGCAATCTTGATTTTTTAATTCGTTTTGAGAAATTGAATTTAGCCCTCGGAGTGAAAAAAATTGTTCTCTCCTGAAAATCGTTAGGAGCATTCTGTAGCTCTGAGAAATTTCTGGTTGTTCGTAAATTCTTCTGAAGATTTTGCTTAAGAAGAAATTTGAAGAGAAAAGAGTTCATGATTTTTTCCAGATTTATGTTGAATCATTCAACGCCTTGAGAATTTTTTTATGTTTTTGTATTAGGGACACTGCTGGTCAAGAGCGTTTTAGAACCCTGACCACTGCCTACTACCGAGGAGCGATGGGTATTCTCCTGATGTACGATGTCACCAGTCTTGAAAGCTTTAATCATCTGTCCTACTGGCTTCGGAACATCCAAGAAGTAATTTCCATTCTACTGTGCTAAATTTTCTTGCGGGGCAAACGATCCTTAAAGACGTGTAGGGTAAAGGTCAAATGACCTCTAAGGGGTCATTTGATCCTCATTAAAAAGCGAAAAAAATCCTGAATTGTATTGAACAGTGGTTTTTTCGTGGAGTTGTGGATCAAATGACTCTTAAGACCATTTGACCCTCAACTCCAAGCGTTCTTAAGAATCACTTGACCCTTGCGAACACCTCGAAATCATTCGACTCTCAACTAAAAACAAAAAGTTTCCCGAATTCTGCTAAATAGTTGTTTTTTCTTGGAGCTGACGATAAGAAAGTCTTAATAAAGGGTAAATGACCCTTAAACATTCTTGAAGGTCGTTTGACCTCAACTAAAAACGAGAAAAAAAACGTTTTCTAAATGGGACTAAATAGTCGTTTGCCGGTCTTTCATTTTGTTATTAAATTGAGAAAAAAAACACAAAATTATGATTTTAGAATGCTTCACCAGACGTCGTGAAAGTTCTCGCAGCGAATAAATGCGACGCGACGAGTCACAGAGCCGTGGACATCGAACGGGGTCAAAAAATAGCTGACAATTTCGATATGCCGTTTTTCGAAGTGTCCTGCAAGGAGAACATCAACATCGAGGATGCTTTCCTGACACTCGCTAGGCGGATACGTGAGCAGAGAGGTCGAAGGGTAATATCAATCATCAAACCCAATTCATTAGTATCAAAATGAATAATTTGATTTAATGAATTCGATTAATTCGAATATTTCAAATTGCAGGCAAGTTTGTTCGAGGCGTCAGAGAGAGAAGGTGCAGACAGCATCATAAAAGCTCAATCGCCCTCCCAACAAGGTGACGCTTGGAGATGCTCCTGTTAGCCAGCAACTGGTGAAATTTTATAATAAATTTTTATACAGAAGGACAAGTGTCCTTCAACAGAAAATGTCGCTGACCAAGTCAATCCTATAATTGACTAGTAAGATTTGGTGATTTCATTAGGAATATCATTCTAATGACCCTAGATTTTTAACTATGATTTATCACAAATTGTTGGCATATGTGGGTAGAACTGCAGCACAGGTGCATCTCAATCACTCGTTGAACTATATTAATTGTTTTCAGTTTCGTATTATGAAGGGCCTAATTGCAATTATGATCAGCACAATCAATACTCGCGATATATTATATGTAAAAATGATAAAGTATGAATTTGAACCAAAGACTTCATCAAGCGCATTGTGATCGACGTCTTGTGAGACAGGGAGAAATAATTGAGGACCACGAGTTTGAAGTAGCTTAATAGGTTCGACGTATTGAATATTAAAAGGAAAATTGTTATTGGTTGAGGATCAAATGGTTTTGAGGGTCAATCAGCCCTTGAGGAGGTTTGAAGTTGAGGGGCAAATTGCTCTTAAAGACGTGTATGGTTAAGGGTCAAACCGTTTTTAGGGCCATTTGACCCACAACTTGGAACTTTTTTAAGGGTTGTTTGACCTTCAAGATCATTTGACCCTCAATTTCAAAAGTTTTCAAGGGTTGACCTTCAAGACCATTTGACCCTCAATTCAAAACAAAAACAAATTTCGTGAACTGTGTTAAATAATTGCTTTTCTTCAAACTTGAGGGTCAAATTGTCGTCAAGGGCAAACGACCCCTGAAGGTGTGTAGGGTTAAGGGTCAATTGACCCTTAAACCACTTAACCCTCAGGACCCCTTGACCCTCAACTTCAAACGTTCTTAAAGGTCATTTGACCTTCAAATCCATTTGACCCTCAACTAAAAACAAAAAAAAATCCTGCACCGTGTTGAATTATTTTTCCTGGTGTTTCATTCTACTATTAAATTGAGAAAAAAATTACGATTTCGAATGTAAACGAGGTTTTCGCCAATTCTTTGAATTTTTTAGCAATCCTCAAATTTCTGAAACTATTGAGCTACTTCAAATGTCTGTTTCAGCCGAAACAGATCGAGGGGAAGGGAATTTAATGATAATTCGAAGCATAGACTGCCTGCTCCTAATGCTACGTATTATGCACCGATTAACGGGGCTGACGATCGTTGTAAACTAAGTGGTAAAATAGGTTTATGAAATGGTCGGTTTAACGCGGTGTCAATTAATGCACGACTGATGCTTTGATATGTACGATGCAATCATTTGCGTGCGTTGGGGGTATGGGTATTTCCTAAGGGGATCATCGTGTTGACTACAGTTCGTTAGGGAAGTGGGGAATTCAATGGAAGACTCGATTTTTTCACTACAATTTGGTAAAGACATAATTGTTTGAGTAATGAGGGGTTTTAGAAGAGAAGTTCATAAGAAAGTTTCAGGTGAAAATTCAATTCTTTGTAAAAAAGTCATCTGCAGTTTTTTAATGAATGAACTATTAATAAAAATGTTGAAATTGACTTTTTTTATATCTTGATGATTGTTAAATGATTTGATATTAATTTTTAATTTGATAACGAACGGTTTAAGGGGTAAATGTTAAGACTTTCTTTGCTCGAAATTTAATTCTTAATAAAAATATTTTGACGTTAATTTTTTTACGACTTCCTAAACGATGAATTGTTTCGTTAATAAGGTGATTTAATGGAATTTAATTCCTCGCTACTGATAAATATTAGAAAAATGTATTAGAGCCACGCAGCACAGTTGTGGTTATTTTATTTTTCATCTTCAATCGAAAAAAATTGACGTATTGATCTGATGATCTGTGAATTTGTGTAATTCAAGAATAAATGTCCCACGAATCGCGACAGATGACTCGAGCTGTAGCTATTCGTCTCTCTGATTTATGCTGGCGGAAAATAAAGCCTTTATTGTGCCTATAAACGATTATGAAGATTAAAAGAAGAAAGTGGAGGCAAAAATTAACGTTTGTTGCCGCTTTGTACAGGTCATGATTTTTCTCCATTCGAAAGCACTGAAAAAACCTAAACAATAACTGGAAATGCTCGTTGGTACCACTGGAATTGCTTTTTGTATGTTTATAAGTCAAGATTTTGGATAGAATTTTAGCCACATAATATATACATGGTCTCTTTTGGTACAACAGCCAGCAACTCAATGACGAGATAATAGAGATGAGGAAGTTACATTTATTCGTGTGAGAATAATTTTGTTTTCGTATTTTATCCAGTCGTGGAGTGGTGAAATAGAATAAATTCACATTTTTGCAGAGAATTCAGGGAACTTTCCTTTTTGTTCTGGTTGAGGGTCAAATGACCCTAACAGTTCAAGATTTGTTTATGATCTGAAGGGTTGTTTGATCCTCAAAACCATTCAATTCACGAAAAACTAGAGCACAAAAAACACAATTTTAATGAAAAATCCACAGCAATTTTTCTGTCCATCTGACCCTGTTTTACCACTCCACGAGTGGATTAAAATCAGACATACGCTGGATCGTTCTGTCTACCCTCTGAATGACATTCTTGAGTTCAGAGCTGGTCTCTGAGTATAAGAATAATCAGGAATGTCATTTAATCAACTGTACTACGCACATTTCGCGAGTATTAGCCGAGAAATTAATTGTGTAATGAGATTGTATGCATAGTAGTGAAATTGTAATTGTAAATGTACAAATACCTGGAAGGTGAGGAATGTGGAAAGTGGTGATACCGAAAAGATGATTAAGAGTAGGTGAATTATTCAGACGTAAAAGGATAAAGCAGGATGATTCAATTTCAGTTTAGAACAAGTTTCCGAAAATACATTGTTTATGAATATCTTGAGATATTCATAAAAAAAACTCCCTACTTCTGTTGTGAAATAAATCACTCTGCTTTATGATATTTCTAATACTGAATTGATGGAAATTACAGATCAGTCATCAGCAATGCCCCTATTTGTAGCTTTTTCCAACTGAATTAATCGATATTGACGATCCGAAAATTTCGTATTAACATTTTTAGTATTAAATAGCTGATAAGGCTGTAGGAAAAATTGTATAACTTGATGTTTTGAGTCGGTAATAAATACATGCACACTTTTTGCTTCCGAATGGAAGCTTTGTAATCGTTCGATTCTCACGTTTTCTACTTTTGGGGGACCGTTTTAATCCTCTCACGCATTCTTAGTGATATATTTCGTGCTAAAAAAAATTCGAAATCCCTACGAAACTGTGAAAGTCAACTTCATTCACAGATTATTATTCGCTTGTAGAGACAAATGGAGATTGCATTTTGAAAAGTAGGAAAGATAATTTTGTTGGATATTTTGCTTCTTTCACTCACCCATTTGCTCTCGCACTCTCTCTAATCGTCATAATAACTCCAACTATATCTTCATCGATTTATTATCTAGTGGTGGAGGGGACTGATACACATTTTATACAAAACACTCGCTTATGATTGGAACAGACGAACGAGGGACACTTGCTGCAGGTAGCTGTTGTCTTAAGATCACAGCTCCTGGGGCAGAATGAGCAGCGTCCCCTCCTTCGTTTTGCTGATGGTGTTGACACGTTCACGTCACTCGGCCAGTCCAGAAAGTGGAAGCCAGACATTGCCTGGCAACATAATCCCAGTTTTAAAGCAAGAATCAATGGGAAAACGTGAAAAATCACGTGGATGTGAATTTTTTTAAAGTGGAAAATAGATGTTTTATTGCTTGGATATTTACAGTAATCTTTGTTTTTGGTTTTTGGTGAGAATTGAACTGTTAAGGAAGAGGTTTCCTTCTCAGACGTCCATCAGATGTTGACGGTGAATGATTCCTTACCATTTCTTGCACCTCCACTTCTGGCTCCACGATTGTTTTAGTTTCTATGTCTATTTTACGTCTTTTGCTGTCGTCATTTTCCTCGTTCGGAGGGTGATTGGGGATCACTGGAGGCTGACTAGAAACAGGATTCGAAGAGGATTTTATGTTCTTTCAATGTCAAGACAATTTTAATGAAAATATTGAAAGGGTTAAAAATTTCAAATGTAATTTGTTCCTTTTTAAAATCAAATCTATGATTCATCAAATAATTTTTTATTTGGTAAATCATTTAATAACTAATAAGCAATATAAATCCACAAAATAATGACTTATAATACCTGTGATTATAGAATAGACTCTCTTTTTTAATAATTTTATCCTTCGCCCTGCAGACTTCACTGGTATTTATCACAGATTTGAAAATGTCTAGACAACACTTGGGACTATCCACTGGAATATTTCCTTTGATTGAGTCCTCATTGAAAGGTTTCGTCTGAATGTGTTCTGAAAAGGATAAAAAATAATTATCACCCATCCGCAAGTGAAGAAAAATTGTAAAACACTCATGACAATTGTATCGATGCTGCAATTATTTCTTCAACATCCATTGATTCATTGAACTTTATTGGTACTCATTCACGTCATAGGGATGAACAGTTTCGCTGATTAAAAAAACAATTCTACGTACTTCTGATAAGTTCAGCCCCATTGGCTCTATACTCCATTATCTCCTCGTCCTTCCTCTTCATTTCTTTGATCAACATCTCCTTCTGTCGCCGCAAATCCTCGACAGACAGACACAGGGGCATTGTCACCTCTCGCCATAATTCTTGAGGAGTACTTTTGACGAGATCCATCTCGTACCTGAAGACCCCACCCTCGACAGTCGTCTCCAATTTTATTTTTCTTTTTGTTACTTCAACCGCTAGCTGAGGAATGTTACTCAGAATTCCAGCGATTATCTCGTCTATGTCGACGTCTTCTATACTCAGTAATGGATTCAGTCTCTGTGAGGAAGAAAATGATGATAAATTAGAAATTATTTCAATTTTTTTAATCGATGAGTAGTGGAAGGTGAGGTGAAATTGACTTTGTTCAATCGTCAATATCTCAGGACTGAATGATGCGATTGGATGAGCCAGGTCTCATTTGAAAGCCTGGAAAAATATCTTAAAAATGAGAAAAAGTTGATGAATTTCACTCTGCCAATCTTCAGATATTGACGAATAAGAACAGTTAATTTTCTCCTCTTTCTCAATAAACGAATGACATCCCGATTAATTAAGTGAATGAATAATTAACTAATCGAATCATCATTAATTATTATTCAACTAATAATAATTCGACTGAACGAATGGAGAAACCAATCTCACCTGACACTTATCAACAACCTCCTCCCTCGAAATATCCTCAGCCCACAGTTCAATTAAATTAGTCAACAGTATCTTCCACTTGTCACCGATCAATTCACTCGATACCATGAAAACCTCCTGACCCGAATGAATTTCCTTCCACATATTGTCCCCCAAAATTGACAACAATAGGTAATAAACAACAAACAGTAGATAACCTCGCGAATTCCCGAATTGTCCTGCCCTCCAAGTCCCGATTTCAATCAATAAAACATTCACAATATTTTCAAAGTAAAAATATAAATATTGACACGCGTTTTTTGGCAGTCGTCAACCAATATTTTTATTCCATCGAAAACACTTTCGACATGTTTTACGATGTTTTGGGTGCCGGCAGCGAGCACTCGGGTCTCGTTACTGCGCATGTGTGCCGCGCATAACGGGGGACGCCATTGTGCGAGGGAGATGTTTTGTGCGCGGGACAAAAACAGACGCCACAGAGCGATTTTGTCATGAAAATTGATCGGAAATTGTTCATTAGAGTTCAATAACGAATCATTAATGTGTAAACGATGAATTGGGGGATGTGAGTGGTGAAAAAATGGCGGATGTCCATGGATTCCAGTCGAGGGAGGCACATGAAGGTAAGTAACTCCTTGTTTTACCATTAATTCTCGTTTGAATGCTTGAAACCAGTGGGGAACAAAGATTTTGCTGCATTTTTAATAGTTCAGGGCTCAATAACGCAAAATTGATTGATTATATGGCATTTCGAAGCTTCAGAGATCAACAAAAAATGGAGGAAATTTGATGGAATTTCACTGTTTATCTCAACGCGTTTTGAAGATTGAATTCGAGTCTTTTGTCTTTGGAGTTGGTTTATTTTTACATTTCTTTATATCGTGACTCTGAATAATTTTTCGTGATTAGTCACGTGTCATGGGTCTTTCCAGGGTCTGAAGCCTCAGTTTGAGACACGTCCTTCCCTCGTCATCCAAGTATTCCTCAGCCAATGGCACTTTTCGACAGCTCCCTATCGAACTTCCGGACGGCTTTAATTTTATATTCTTCCTAACGTGAATGTTCTTTATCATGTTCTTGGTGTAGGAGGTGAGCTTTGAGGTGACGATTGATAACTCGTTGTACTCGGCTTTTATCTTCCGGGTGAAAATATATTGTTTGGTCGAGGGTTTTTGCTTGAGGAGCTTTGGGGGTTTGGGCTTTAGGATTTCACAGGATATTCCGATGTCTTTCAAGAGGACTGCGTTCTTCTGGGGGCTGCTGTGAGAGAATGTTGAGGATATTATCATCTTGAGGTGTTTTTATTCATTCTTATTTTCATTTATTTTCGCTTATTCGTGATTTTTCACTTCTAATTGAATAGTGAAGGGGAAATGCTCAGAAGGTAATTAGAAATTGGATTTTGGTGAATTGAAATAGCGAAATTTTCATGCGGATTTTCTTTTGGCCGTGACTATTCGCACCATTGTGTGAATCACTCCCGTACACTCCACGCATGCGTGAAGTTTGTGAGTTTCACGCAGCCGAATTTTCATACTGCTGTGTATTTCACGCAGTTGAAGTTTCATACTACTGTGTGTTTCACGCAGTTGCATTTTTATACAGCGGTGTGTTTCACGCAGTTGTATTTTTATACACATGTGTGTTTCACGCAGTTGTATTTTCATACAGCTGTGTGTTTCACGCAGTTGCATTTTGATACGCCTGTGTGTTTCACGCAGTTGTATTTTTATACACCTGTGTGTTTCACGCAGTCGTATTCAGATACTCCTGTGTATTTCACACACCTGTGTGTATAAACACACAGGTGTATAAAAATACAACTGCGTGAAACACACAGGTGTATAAAAATACAACTGCGTGAAACACACAGGCGTATAAAAATGCAACTGCGTGAAACACACAGGTGTATAAAAATACAACTGCGTGAAACACACAGGCGTATAAAAATGCAACTGCGTGAAACACACAGGTGTATAAAAATACAACTGCGTGAAACACACAGGCGTATAAAAATGCAACTGCGTGAAACACACAGGTGTATAAAAATACAACTGCGTGAAACACACAGGCGTATAAAAATGCAACTGCGTGAAACACACAGGTGTATAAAAATACAACTGCGTGAAACACACAGGCGTATAAAAATGCAACTGCGTGAAACACACAGGTGTATAAAAATACAACTGCGTGAAACACACAGGCGTATAAAAATGCAACTGCGTGAAACACACAGGTGTATAAAAATACAACTGCGTGAAACACACAGGCGTATAAAAATGCAACTGCGTGAAACACACAGGTGTATAAAAATACAACTGCGTGAAACACACAGGCGTATAAAAATGCAACTGCGTGAAACACACAGGTGTATAAAAATACAACTGCGTGAAACACACAGGCGTATAAAAATGCAACTGCGTGAAACACACAGGTGTATAAAAATACAACTGCGTGAAACACACAGGCGTATAAAAATGCAACTGCGTGAAACACACAGGTGTATAAAAATACAACTGCGTGAAACACACAGGCGTATAAAAATGCAACTGCGTGAAACACACAGGTGTATAAAAATACAACTGCGTGAAACACACAGGCGTATAAAAATGCAACTGCGTGAAACACACAGGTGTATAAAAATACAACTGCGTGAAACACACAGGCGTATAAAAATGCAACTGCGTGAAACACACAGGTGTATAAAAATACAACTGCGTGAAACACACAGGCGTATAAAAATGCAACTGCGTGAAACACACAGGTGTATAAAAATACAACTGCGTGAAACACACAGGCGTATAAAAATGCAACTGCGTGAAACACACAGGTGTATAAAAATACAACTGCGTGAAACACACAGGCGTATAAAAATGCAACTGCGTGAAACACACAGGTGTATAAAAATACAACTGCGTGAAACACACAGGCGTATAAAAATGCAACTGCGTGAAACACACAGGTGTATAAAAATACAACTGCGTGAAACACACAGGCGTATAAAAATGCAACTGCGTGAAACACACAGGTGTATAAAAATACAACTGCGTGAAACACACAGGCGTATAAAAATGCAACTGCGTGAAACACACAGGTGTATAAAAATACAACTGCGTGAAACACACAGGCGTATAAAAATGCAACTGCGTGAAACACACAGGTGTATAAAAATACAACTGCGTGAAACACACAGGCGTATAAAAATGCAACTGCGTGAAACACACAGGTGTATAAAAATACAACTGCGTGAAACACACAGGCGTATAAAAATGCAACTGCGTGAAACACACAGGTGTATAAAAATACAACTGCGTGAAACACACAGGCGTATAAAAATGCAACTGCGTGAAACACACAGGTGTATAAAAATACAACTGCGTGAAACACACAGGCGTATAAAAATGCAACTGCGTGAAACACACAGGTGTATAAAAATACAACTGCGTGAAACACACAGGCGTATAAAAATGCAACTGCGTGAAACACACAGGTGTATAAAAATACAACTGCGTGAAACACACAGGCGTATAAAAATGCAACTGCGTGAAACACACAGGTGTATAAAAATACAACTGCGTGAAACACACAGGCGTATAAAAATGCAACTGCGTGAAACACACAGGTGTATAAAAATACAACTGCGTGAAACACACAGGCGTATAAAAATGCAACTGCGTGAAACACACAGGTGTATAAAAATACAACTGCGTGAAACACACAGGCGTATAAAAATGCAACTGCGTGAAACACACAGGTGTATAAAAATACAACTGCGTGAAACACACAGGCGTATAAAAATGCAACTACGCGGAACACACAGGTGTATAAAATTTCAACTGCGTTAAACACACAGGTGTATAAAACTTCAACTGCGTGAAACACACAGGCGTATCAAAATGCAACTGCGTGAAACACACAGGTGTATAAAAATACAACTGCGTGAAACACACAGTAGTATGAAACTTCAACTGCGTGAAATACACAGCAGTATGAAAATTCGGCTGCGTGAAACACACAAACTTCACGCATGCGTGGAGTGTATGGAGTGTACGGGAGTGATTCACGCAATGGTGCGAATAGTCACGGCCTTTTCTTTTGTTGAGGAACGTCAGAAAAAAATTCCCAAAAACTCAGCTGTTTTGATATTAAATTGACTCTCATTCTGCCACAAAGAAAATTTTGTTTACATTTTCTTCTAAAGTCAGTCGTTTCTGCACTATTCCATTTTTCTTGGCTGCAATTTCTCGGTATATTTCCTACAATTTTTTATCAAATTACATTTCCACTGAAATTTCAAGGAATTTTGCCATTGAAAATTGATAGTCTGATGAAAAAATCTATTTAAAATGTAAATTTCAGTCCAATTATCCCATGAAAAACCATAGAAATCAGAAAAATTCACGTAATTTGGGCGTTGTTGCAAAATTCCAATGAATTCTTGAATTTAATTTCCTCTCTCTGAGATCTCAAGAAAATTCCCAAAAATTAATCCATTTAAACATTCAATTCTTCCATTCAATTGAAAGGAAAATTATTCCAAGAAATGATACATAACTACCGGGAACGAAAAAACTTGTCGCGAGAAAGTGTCACTCCATACCTGTAGCACGGAAAACCGCAGGAGAACGAGGAACAGCTCTCTCTAGAAATGCCACTTCCCTTCCTGATGACGTGATTACTGATGCTAGAAATTAATCCCAAAGGCCTGCCGCCCTTCAAAGTCAGAAGGGAACTCCTCGATTTTCCCTTCTCCCTCGAAAACTCCATAGGACACTGCGTCATCAATCCTCTTCCTCAGTTGATCAACCCCGCGCCACCCACGACGTTCATTTGTCCCTCCTGTAACCTCATTATCTCCACATGAAGGGACTGACACTCGTAAAAACTTGGAGAATAACAGAATAATTCGTACGATATTTTTAGTAAATTTCCTAGGTCGTTTTTAATAGGTCGCGGTCGCCTAAATTAGATTGGTGATAGAATTGTCGTACAAGCCGACCAATTCTGCTTCTCACGATTCTTGAAAAAATCGCCCATAAAATATAAACAAATGGATAATGCTTCATACGATTAATATATTACGGTTTTTTTCCTGTATAAATCTATTCTGTTGCATTCTTTCACATGAATTGAATTGCTCTAGAATAAATTATATTCACACATTTGTGAGAAATATTGTTGAGATTTAAACTTCAACTTTCTTGACATTCTGTCGTAACGATTTGACAGAAATTTTCAGTCCACTTCTAGGAAATCTCTGTCAAGAGACAGTTCCAGAGAAATTTCGAGGAATGTGATTTAAAAAAATTATAATTCCATAAAAAAGGAATGGAAATTGTAAATTTCAGTCCAATTATTCCACGAAAGTTAACGAAAATCTAAAAAATTCATATCGCGTTGTTTCTTCAATACAAAAATATTTAATGGTAAAAATTCCATAGAAAAAAAATCAGAATTTATTTCTCAACTTTCATCGACGTCCAAACTTCCCCAACTTCCTCAACATTCTACCAACAGGTGTCCATAAAACAGTCCGATCCACTCTCAAAAAGCCAGTCTGCACGTACTTGAAATCTCCGCCTCGCCGTGTATCCCTCGTAAATCATCGTGAAATGAAAAATATGTGTCACTCCAAGGGCTGTCAAGACATCAAGGCACATAAGGAACAAACGACAGGCCTCTAAGCAAGGATTTTTCGTGACGAGTGTATTGTACCGCATGGAAAAGACGAATTCTATTTTCGCCGTGAACCGCGTCCGCCTCTGAGGGACATACCCTGGGGCAAAAGCTCACTCTGGTGGCGCTGCTTATTGGCCACTGGTGTTCTTCGGCATCAGTTGCCTTCAGTACATCAGGCATCGCGTTGGCGATATCACGGGATTCTCCGGGACCCCATTGATGGGATACTTATCACTGAAAAAACGAGTCTCCTGTGCTGGAAGTATTATTTGGTGATTAGTTTTGTAGTCAAAGTTGGGTGAGCCAGTATAGGGCGTGATACATTCTGTGAAATATTGGAAATAGACATGGAAGTGATGGAGACGCATGACAATGACGTGAAAGAGGAAGTTTTAGAGGACGGAGACAATGATGATGACGATGAACCCAAGTATGAGGAGGAGCAGGATGTTAAGGAGGAGGTGGATGTTAAAGTGGAACCTAAGGACACGGTTTTGGAGGAGGATGGAGCGACTGTTGAAGAGACTTACGAGATCACCACCACCAGGCGCAAAACCACTACTACGAGGTACAAGATTCAAGAAGTAAGTTGGCCATTTGTTTTTTTTTTTCTTCTCCTCTGGGCTGGAGGGGTCTCGAGCTCGGACAATTGGAAGGTTCAAAGCTTGCAACAGCGGGAGAAGACAACGCGCGCCAAATTCAAATCTCAACCAATTACCCCAGATTTATTTGTTGTGAATCAATTGAACTTTGTTCTTGAATGGATGGGTTTCGCGGGGTTTAACGAGCTGTTAAGGGGGAATTAATGGGCCAATAAGTCTGGTTGTATGGGGCATATAACTGTCACCATGTGCGTATCGTTCTGACGAGTTATTTCGATTACTTCCTTTTGTTGGTTGTGGATAATCCAGGGTTGGGGGGTGATTCAGCTGGATTTGATCATGGGGATCTCTACGAATTTAAGTCGGTGTGAGATTTGCTGCTCCAGTGCTGCTCAATTGCTGATATAATATGCAAAGTTACATCATAGAAGGGATTAGTGAATGGAGATGGCCTGAAAAATGAATTTCTTCATTTTGTTTTTCCGTCGAGCCGGCACTGGTACCCCGAAATATTTGACGATATGTCGGTGTGATTCTGCGTCAATGTCAGAAACGATTTTAGAATCTGGCAGACGTGCGCGATGCCCTCATCGTCGCTTCTTCGACGCTCGTTGGAGGCGCGTTGCCGTTCGGCAGGTGACGCCGACAGCTATGGATGTGCACGATGCAAGTCTTTTGTTGAATCTTCATCTTTGATAATGAGGTGAAGTCAAAACAACGTGTTGTCCCTTATTCATTCGGATTTTTCGATTAGTCCCTTTCGCGTTTTCAGAAAAGTGGGAAGACATGTCCGCGATAACGCAGAGCGGTTCAAAGTCGAACGGATAATTTCAAACATTAGTCGAGATACTGCCTCCCTCACACCTTCAACCAGTCCCACATAAATGTTTTAAAACTTGACACGAACACATCTCGAAGAGCACACTTTTGGCTGACGTCTGAGCGCATTCGTTTCGATCCGGCTGTCTGAGCTTTCAGGATTAAATGTCGAAGAGTTAAATCACCCACGTGGTTCGCCCCATTCGTATCTGTAAAGATACTAATCCGCCCGATGTTTTCATTTCAATCGACTTATTGACGAATTCAGTGTTGTGCGTTTGAAAGAAGGAAAGTCAGAATAAGATTGTCGAATATGAAAATAGCATCGAGGCCGAGCCAGGGGCTTCCGTTTATTTCCAGTGATGTTCCAATCGATTCAATTTGATTCAGAGGCGTCTCAAGAATAGTCGGACTGCGGAAAATTCACGCATTAACTCCAATTTATTGGTATCCAAAGGGTATTGATTCATTACTGGGGGAAGAGAATGTGTCGCGACATGTTGGAATATTCATTAATCCTGATGAAAGGTTGCTACTCATGCTGGCAATACTCACGGCCAAAGGTAATAAATTGATTTCCATTTTGACGAAAGCTTCAACCAGACAAGCGAAACACTTCTTGGCGCTGCTATTCATCTTGAAAATTCCTCGTCGTTAATGAATCTTGGGAGATGTGAGGCTGTTGTTGGGCTCTTTTTCATCTCTCTTGAACAGTCGCAGGCGCGACGTAAACAATTGCCCAATGATCTAGGCGATATCTCCAGAGTTTGCGTTACGCAAACATTGATCCAACATGTTTATCCATTTTTTTAATACAGAAGTGACAGGTGTGGGTGTGGACTCTGCGTCAGTCATTTTGATGCAGTTTCACACGTCCAAAGGATGTTTTCTATTTTCATTGAGGTTCAAGGTCATCGGTGTGACCAATGCTGCGAGAAGACGTCATACTTGGCAATTGTGGAAACCTCGGCGTCATTGGTGACGTGACAGTTGGTCTTTACGACGACATCTTTTCGATTTCAACGGCCGTTTTGTCTTATGATTATAGATCGATTGTGGGAATGTATGAGGGTTGATTCACCGAAGGGTCATAGACAACGCCCGGCCCCCTTGGCAAAGCTCTTGACGATTTGAATTATTACTGCTCGCTCATGCACGCGGTCTGGACCCTCCCACAGGCTCTCGGGCATTTTGAGATTGCTAATCCGTCGGGGAATTCATTATTTTGAGAATAGAAATTACGGGTTACTGTTGCCTTTGAGTCTTAAAGATAATGTTTGAACAGATGCTGCACATAATTTGGGATTTTTTAAACCTTTTCTCAGCTTTAAGCTTTCATTCAGAGGGAGGAGATTATGTCGCGGGAGAGGAAACTGAATGTCTCGTGATTATCGTTGTACTCCGGAATTATTGGCGGTTGGAAAATTGACTCGGAGGAACAAATAGAGTATTCAGCTGATGACTTAAAATGAAACGTGGGTGCTTGCTTTGGGACTGTTGCCAGGAGAAAAGCCGGCAATAATTTATAAACAGGATATTGTAGTTTACAATTTCTGTATTGAAGTGCTATGAATATTACAGCTTTTCCAGTTTCTGAAAGCCAAAGCTTCAATCTTAGACTCAGACGAGGGCGAACAGCGTTAACATTTTGTCACGAAGACAATGTTTGAACAGATTTTTAGAACCCATTCTCACTTACAATCTTCCATTCAGAGGAAGAAGATTATATCATGGAAGAAGAAACTAAATGTCTCTGGATTGTCGTCATTCTCCGGTGTCAGGAATTATTGGCGGTTGGAAAATTGACTCGGAGGAACAAATAGAACATTCAGCTGATGACTTAGAATGAAACGAGGGTGCTTGCTTTGGGACTTTTGCCAGGAGAAAAGCCGGCAATAATTTATAAACAGGATATTGTAGTTTACGATTTCTGTATTGAAGTGCTATGAATATTACAGCTTTTCCAGTTTCTGAAAGCGAAAGCTTCAGTCGTAGAATCAGACGAGCGCGAACAGCGTTAACATTTTGTCCTGAATACAATGTTTGAACAGAATTTTAGAACCCATTTCCACTTACAGTCTTCCATTCAGAGGAAGAAGATTATATCATGGAAGAAGAAACTAAATGTCTCTGGATTGTCGTCATTCTCCGGTGTCAGGAATTATTGGCAGTTGGAAAATTGAGTCGGAGAAACAAATAGAACATTGAGCTGATGACTTCGAATGAAACGAGGGTGCTTGCTTTGGGACTTTTGCCAGGAGAAAAGCCGGCAATAAGTTATAAACAGGACACTATACTCTATAAACTGAGTATCGAAGTGCTGTGAAAATTGCAGCTTCTCAATTTCTGAAAGCCAAAGCTTCAGTCGTAGTCTCAGACGAGCGCGAGCAGCGTTAACATTGTGTCGCAAAGACAATGTTTGAACAGACTTTTAGAACCCCCTGTCACTTTCAAGAAGAAACTAAATGTCTGCATTATCGTCATACTTCGGTGTCAGAAATTATTGGCAGTTGGAAAATTGAGGCGGAGGAACAAATAGAACATTCAGCTGATTACTTAGAATGAAACGAGGGTGCTTGCTTCGGGACTGTTGCCAGGAGAAAAGCCGGCAATAATTTATAAACAGGACACTATACTCTATAAACTCAGTATCGAAGTGCTGCGAATATTGCAGCTTCTCCAATTTCTGAAATCCAAAGTTTCTCTGAAAGTATCTCATTTCGTAGAATGAACTCTTCACATAAATCAAAGCCATCAACAGCCGGAAGTCTGCATTGACGGGGGGGTTGTTGGTGTACCATGAGACATCGAGCATCAATCGTACACCCAGTGGACACACATAAGGCGGCGCAACGGCGTTGCGAACGACGGACAAACGAGCGCGAACAACGTTAACATTTTGCTTGATTTTCGTAACGACAAAGAGCTAGGCCAATTTGCTGCTCGCTTCGTTAATTGAGGACAGAAGGCTGCAGTTGTCTTTGATGCATTCACCTCATGTAATATTCCTGAGTTACGGAGTTTTCTTGGGGGTATGAGGGTACCCACTGAAAAACACTTTGCTACCATGCTTTCTCATGGATTGTTGAGACACAACTATCACGGCGTCAGGGTATCTCAATTAGTGAGGGAAAAGCAAAGTCGGTCGATGGTTTACCGCTACGCTTCACAGTCACTGGCTAATTCCACTCTTACTGTCCAGAAATAGATTATCCACGGTGTTTGTACATTGGGACTGTATCCAATGTGACGGATTTTCCACCAGGCGAGCCACTGGAAATTACGGACAGACTGATAACTCTTTCACCTGCTTGAGTATCATGATCACTGAGAGAAATATCGTCATAGTATCACAAAATTGATTTCTTGCGCCAAATATCTCATCTCTTGAGGTTAAATTTCTTGGGATAAGAATTTCGGATAATGTATCAGACAATGTCAGTTTCCGGTGAAGTGTTCATGACATGCACGGAGAGAAATATTCAATAAAAATTACGTATCTTTTCTGTAATTCCGGAGCGAAATGTGGTTGTAGGAAATTTTACGGAACTGTCACGGAATTTTTCCAGAGGGTATCTGAATCTCCTGTAAAAAATTACGATACCGTCACTTAAATTTTCTGAGTCGATTCCGTAATCGGTGAGCGAATTGTGAGTTCTATAATTTTTACTGAACATTTCTCTCCCTGTGAACATGAACATTTCATGATAAAGTGAGAATTTCTTGCTACAAGAAACCGGTTTTTTCGTGTCAGAAGATGGGAAAATGAGTAAAAATATTAAAAGCTTCGATTCAGTGAATCATGAATCAGAAACTTTCATATTGAATGAATAGAGAGTTTATGTAGAGGAAAAACTCCAGATGAGAAAACTCGCGTTGAGCTCGAAGGGAAGCAATATCTTCTTTTCCTTCTGTCAAACTATTCTTGTCTTTGAAGGAATATTATCTCATTCCGAAAAAGACATCATCTTTTCATTCAGTAATTTCCTCCTTAGCCCGAAGAGCACCGATTTCTTATCTGCAACCTACCATAAATTGATCATGTACGCGATGTTGTTCGCTCAAGAAATGATTTTTGTGATATTATGTCGATTTTTCTCTTAGTGACAGATGATGTTTCACTGTTGTTGGATAAACGTATTGAAACAATATTGGTTTACGAA